TGCCAACAGAGGTCGAATAATTCGATCCTGAATAACAACGGGAAATCATAAGTGCCAGTAAACAATAATAACTGATACCTACTGAACAATAAGTGCGTCTTGTTGGTAAATGGTGTAATGGATAACTTCATGGTGCTTGGGGAGTCGGGTGTTGGGTTTGCGTATCAATGTGAACATGATCTTTCTCTGGGGTGCAAATACGTCCAGCCGACGAGTCCGACAAAGAACGAAGCGCACATCCTGCATCACACTACTGAACACCATCAAACAAGTTTCTAGTTTCAGCCGTCTATTGTGGATTCTTATGCCTATATAGGACTTCAGTATTATACACAGTTATGGCGTGACACCAATACAAAGCATCATATATGTAAAAACTATTGACTAGTTAGTAAATCAACTCAAGTTGTTACAGTTCGCTGTCATCTCTGTTATTTCCAGTGGTGAGATGAGCCAAGTTATTATCTAGATCTGTCTTCACATGATCATGCGTTAATATCCTACAAGAGGGGAAGTCCTACTTGCTGGCTTCACGTGCTGGTTGTGCTTTCGTAAAATCGGCAGTATGAAAACTAATGTCAAGCCCTTATCAAAAAAATTGCTGAATGGTTAGGGTTCATTTAGAGAAGTCGGCCATCCGTAGCTCTGAATCAATAGTATACATGGAATTCCTGATCTGAAACAGAGAAATGGTATACAGACTCTTTTGTATAACCGGCAGCCACAGAAATGCAGCACCAGACGACCCTTTACTGTAATGTGGGTCGAACATCCAGTAAAAAGCTCAGAAAATGGTCCATTGAGACAACTATTTGCCTTATACTGAGGATCTGCGCATTATCATAAGCCACATGAACTCATCTATATCATGAGGTCAAGTTACAGAGAAATCTCAGTTTTCTATTCATTATTTTCTAGCATCTCAAAATCACTAAACAATGAGAAACTTCACATCCAACTATGAAGCTCGTCTTGTTGTTCAGGGACTTCCAAAACCAGTGTCATCGTCCGACCAATCCCAGGTTTGTTCCTATCTGGTCCTACTACCACCATTGCTACTACTACTATTACTGCTACTACTACTATTACTACTACTACTACTGCTACTAGCTTCGCAGATGAAGCAAGGGATCAGGTGGTGTCAGCGGCATATGATTTAATATCCACAGTTGAAATGGGTTCAAAACCAGAATTACTCCTTATCTTGCTAGTTGTCAGTTTGACTGTCTGAGATATCCATGGTTTAGGAGATTTGTATTATTGATTTTGAGGTGATAATTGCTGATGGTAATGAAAACGTGAGTCACGGCAGGATTCAAACCAGAAGCCACTCAGATCTCATGGATACTTAGTACACACAAGCAATTTTCAGAAAAAAACCTATGATCAAATACATCTAACCTTCTTAAACCAACAGTCTTCACCGGTTGTTTTACAGCGGTAAATGAGGCAGAGAGTACTGATCCCCAGCATGCTGTTCTCTTTATAAGGAGCGGTTAGTTTGGGACAAATAACAACCCACGAACATCAGTCTGTGGGTAGTGTTTAACGGTGAAATCCAGTACGCACGTTTCATCCCACTCTATGCTCATCAGCTGGGGTAACTAGACCCCAGTGAGTGATGTTGTCCCCACTGAAATTGGTACCCAGAATGCATCACTTCAAACACCACAGCGTTACTCAGTAGGCCACTGAAGTACGAGATCTAGCTCATGTGCAAGAAGTTACAGTAGTTAGTATTAATATTACTACAAGTATCATGTTGCTAAGACTAAAATGAAGCTTAACGGCTTATAGGGATGTTGTTACAGTAAGTTATCTACTTTATACATTAATAAACAGAATACTGTATGATCAGGAGGTACCTCCTATTTGACGTCAACCACAGTATTTCCAGTGAGTCATAAAGGAATAAAGACATCAGCAGGAACAAACTTGCTTTCATCAATATCATCTTCTGCATCATGGATGGTATCACTCATGCAGGTCCTTCTGATTCTTGAAGATAAAGGATGAATCAAATTCCTTTTTCTGCTGAAATGTACCCAGCTATAGGGATACAAGAATGGTCCATTCTATATTGGCTTCCTATAAACCAATCTCTTAAGGAAACCATCTAGTCTCCGTTTCAATAAGACATCAAAGAAATTGGAATTCTGAGTTCTCTTGAAATTCTGATATGAAGTTGACTGATGGGTGAAAATCATTCAACTTTTTAACTATAGTTCCAATATCTGTATTTTGATCATATATGATGAATGTATCATTCATATATCTTTTATATAGGTAGAAACTAGCAGTTTATGGATAAAGCATACTGTTTTCTAGTTTTACCACAAACCAACCAACCAGTAGCTGTCCAAGTGATGACGCCATAGAAACCCCATCCTTCTGTTTGTATAGCTTGTTACTGAATTTAAATTGTACATTGAAAGTAAATCTTAAAAAATAATTCTTTAAAATGATAATGCTTTGAAATATCTATGTGAAAATTATTATCTTTAATGATATCACATAGAAACAAGATAGTTTTTGTGAAAAATAGACATTAGTTAAGAAAGAAACCATATCAAGAGAAATTATTTAATTACTGGATACATTGACATTATTAAATACGTTGAACATATTTATCTGTTATCCTACTGGTTGAAGAATGTTTGACAGCCATTTGGTGAATGGTTCGATGCAAGGGTAGTCCTTTTCTGTGTACTTTCAATAATAGACTGTTATATTTTTGTGACATATATATATATAATGTATTTTTGAGATGAATGGGCATTTTTTAATTTAGAAGTAGTATTCATCATGGACTGACATCAATTGGGGAACCATTAAAAATCTGGAAGCACTGGATAGCTGTTTCGTCCAACTAGTATGGGACTTCTCAGCAGTATATAATATCATCAAGTGAACAAAATTTATTCTCTGAATTATTTCTTATTTTCCGATGAACATATTTAAAAGGTGATGAATTAGTCTAAGTTGGTGAAATTATCATTGTGCAAGTAGACAGTAACATCACCCGCCAAGTAGCACAAATCTATCAATCTAAACAATAGTTACATTGATGATATGGATTCCGTTTATTTGACATAAAATTGATTGTTTCAAAGAAATATAATCTCAGCAATCATACCACATAATATTCACCTTGATTACAGAAAGTAAAGCAAACGTATCAAAGCCATCATTATAACTAGTTTATTAATTGTCCAACGGGTTCCTACTGGAATATACGGATTCGCTAGCACATCGCCATTTCTCTCCCTTCTCTCCAGTCTTCCAAACCTAACTCAACCACTGCCCATAACCATTCATTCCCTCCTCAAACCATCTCCACCATGTCACCTTCGACTCGAACGCCCGACTCACCGTACCCCATGTGAATTCCACTCGAGGGACCAGTCTCACGTGCGATTTCCCAAAACCGTCTTCTCATTCTATGTCCAATCCAATCCAATCCAATCCATCTCCACTTCCTTCTTCTGCATATCTGATGAACGACAGGTTCTTGCTTCGTTGGTTCATTGTCAGTCCAGAGTTCCTCCTTGCTTATTCTTTCTCACCTTCTCATCTCACCTCATCTTCAGTAAAGAGAGTAGGTAGCTGTTGATGAATGTCTGTGGTTTGTTGGGAATGCTTTTCGTAAGGTTCCGAGTCTGTCAACCATCACATATAAGTATTGACTGACTTGACTGAATAAGTGTTGAAAATGAGGATCTTGTTCCACGTGCTGAGTTGAGTGCAGTAGATCTGCACACTGATTTCAGATTAATGCAGGAAGGCCTGTGTTGCTGTCTTTCCGATGGTGGCTGCTTTCACATCCTCATCTGTATCCCTGCCTGTGGTTGAGACGATGCTGTCTAGGTAGGTAGGTAGGTAGGTAGGTAGGTATGTAAGTGGAAGTGGGAATTTCATTTCGATTTATCCCGTTCATCGTGATTGGTGCTTGTTGCTGTTGTTGGTTGGTTGGTAGGTTGGTATCTTCATCACCTCTGTCTTCTTCTTCTTCTTCTCTACATTCACCTCAAGGAAGTTCCGTCTTCGCTGCCTCGCCTCGCCTCGCCTCTCCTGTCAACTTGTTTGTTTTCGCCTACACATCTTCGAATTTGTGCGACATAATATATTAGATATAAATCATCATGATTGGGGCAGTGCAAATCTTCTTTTGGTGTCATTTCATTGGTCAAACAGGTTATGCCGATCTTCTCAGAGCTCCTCACAGTTTCTTGCATGGCTGTCCAGTGGAGTGGAGTGGAGTTGACCACAATGAGGAAGATGATGGGTGATAGTAGGCGGCAATACTGTCTTACCTGTCAACCTGTCTTCACCTCAAAGGCATCACTGAGCTTTCCATTGTGAATCACTTGGCATGTAGCTTCATCACACAGCATAACACATAGCTGGTGTTGAATGAGGTTGATAAGGGTTTTTGGCAGTCAAAGTGTAGTGTTGAAGCAGCTGCCTGTCAAATTACTTCTCGACTGATGCTGTCGAAGTTGAGGTTGAGTTGAGTTGACTGACATTCTATGTTCTGTTCCATAATGATGCGTAGCGTAGCGTTGCAATTCGATCTGCACATGATTTGTCCTTCCTGAAGGTAACCAGCCTGTTCCAATCATATGAAAAGTATGAGTAGTGAAAAAAGTAAACGAAAATTTAATGCATTTTCAGAAGTTCTAATGAGAAATTGTGACCATGTGGGCAAACCAAGTTTTCGCACGTGACAACAAATACTCAATAATGATATTGTTTTAAGACGGCGGCATATCATGAATTCACAGAAGTAGGAAAATTTGAACCATTGAATTTTGACCAGTGTGAAACATGTAGCTCCTGAGTTCCATTCATAACCGAGTTATGAACGTGAACTGCTGAAGTGTACCATTCTAATACGAAACAGTTTTCAATTCCTCTCAGGTATTTCTTACATTTCTTTAGCTAATAATGATTTTTAATAAATACAAACTGTAAAAATGTTTTCATGTTTTTTAACTCACCAAAACCATAGATATTTGACAAGTAATATTGATCAATGCATATGAAGCAGAGATAATTAAGAAAATTATCTTGTGATTATGTGAAATATTTCGATAGACTGTTGTAAATCCACTTGCTAAAACTAATAGACTGGCATAAAAGCAACTGATTGAAGTAGCGTAGAAAAATTGTGCTGTAGAAAAATTAAAACAGAATAAAGTTTTAATTACACTGTAAAATGAGGTAATTTAAAGCAATTTAAAGGAAAATGTTTTAAATATCATTTTAATATACTTATCTCGATATATATTAAAGCTGAGATTTACACACTGATAGGTGTATGTATGTCAGCTAGGATATCATTTAATCATTAACAGAAATTAAGTAAGTAAATGAAGTGCTGGCTAATAAAATGGAATGATAACTTTATATCATATTTGGATTGATAAAGAATAATATGCTTATGCACTGAAACAAACTGTAAACAAAATAAAAGTAAATTTTTGGTTGGTGGTTACTTATAGTACTTAAGATGTACGCTTTGTACTGTCTAAGACTTGTCAACTAGATACATATCCACTTCAGTTAGACTTAAGTCTAGCACATATCATTTTAAACACCAAAGCGTTATCCAACAAGCTACTCAACTGTGCCTCAGTTGTACTCATCATTTCATGTTGTTATACTGGACTGAAACCTCACCTGGTTAACTAGTTCACTAGTTACTAGCCGATTCTAAGCTCGGATAAAAAGGGATGGTTGGGCATAGGGCTAGTAATCCAACCCCCTAAAACCAATTCAGTCGCTAAAGAAACTTCAAAGCACAAAGAAATTGTAAAAAATGAAAACAAACTTATTCCTCGCTGGAATCGTAGAGGCGAAAGGACACCGGTTGGTGAAAGCCTCCGGGAAGCCAATTGACCGATGTGTCTCCTCTCTCTTGATGAAAGCGAAAGTAAACATGGGGACATGGAATATCTGCACCATGTTTGAACCTAGCAAGGCTGCCCAGATTGGAAAGGAGATGAGAAGGTGAAGCATGGAAGTGCTAGGAATCTTCGGAAGCAGGTGGAATGGAAGTGGACTCTGCAAACTGTCAACTGCAGGGGAGTCAATAATCTACTCGGATATTGTCACTCAGGCTACAACCACCAGCATACTGAGTTATGAAATGGCTATCGTGATATCCCCAAGTGAATCGAAGGCTCTCATACAGTGTGAACCAATCTCCTCATGCAGGATCATGATAGCAAGGTTCAACTGGAAAGGAAGTAAGGTCACAATCATACAAAGCTATGCACCTCTAGATAATGCAGATGAAGAGAAGAAGGAGGAACTCTACAGACAACTCCAATTAACACTGGACAAGACCTCCGTTTGTGACATCAAAATTCTAACGGATGGGGTAGCATGAATGCCGAACTGGGAGGGGACAATACAGGAAAAGAACTAACCATGGGTCGAGAAGCACTCAGTGAAATGAATGAGAATGGAGAATTGTTTGCAGACTTCTGCGCATTCAACGACTTGGTGATTGGAGGCGATGCATTATGTACAAGCAAAAGGAAATCCACAAAGCCAGCGACATGGATTTTACAAGACACACTAAAAATCACATAGACTTCATCTCAGTCTCAAGAAAGTGGAGACGCAGCCAGCCTACTTGACACAACATGAAGAAGGGAAGAAGATGTAGGTTCAGACCACTATGTAGTGCGAAGAACCTTCCAAACCAAGTTGAAAGCCTTCAAGGAAGTTGGTGATAGACCACAGTTCAAGTTCTAAACCCAGAACAGAAACTGAAGGACGAAACTACAAAGAAAATCTTCACGTCAGCCATCAAGACAAAATGGGAGATATTGAGCAACATCTCTGAAGAAACCTGTGTGGATGAACACTGGAACTCTTTGAAAGAGATGTGGAAAGAAACCTGCATAACCGTATTAGGAAGGAAGGAGGAAGAAAGAAGATAAGGAATGGATCTCGACGGATAAATACAATCTGATAGAGGGGGGAGAGGAGGATGGTGAAGCAGAGGATAAATTGGCACAGTGCAAGGATGAACAACGAGAAGAGGAACTGAGTACGACGTCTAAAACACTGGACAAAGAAGTGAAGAAGAGTGCACGGAAAGACAAAAGACACTTCTACGACACATTGGCAAGTGAAGCAGAACAGGCTGCTGGGACAAGGGACAAATAATAATAATAATCATTTATCACCTAGTAAAAACACTAGTTCTCCAATCTGCGGCTATCTTAGATAGTCAAATCATAATCAATATGATGCTCTACCTCTTTGATTCAGTTAGATTTGGATTTGGATGAGAAGTCCTGACTAGGCAGCCAGTGTAAATTCGATCAAGCGGTAGTAAAGCGTCACGGATTCACATGGCAGTCGGGCAAAACCCTTGGTGATTGAAGTGAAATAAAAGTCTGGTCAACATTCGAACCTGGTAGCTCAGTTAGTAGACCACCGGGCCAGTAACTCAGTGGTCGCTGGTTCGAATCCGACTGTGGTCCAGATTTTCATCTCACCTTCAATCATCATACAGTACAAATAATAATAATAATTCACCTTGTTGCAAACAATTTTCGGTGCAGTTTAGAATTTTCAGCATGACAGATCACAGTAACAACAACAAAATGCATGTATGTTTATACTCCTTTACATCATATCGAATTGTGTTATCATGAGGATTTATGTAATGTAAAGATTATTAATAACCAGAAAAATTCTAGATTGTTAATTGAATTGTTGAAATAAGATTGTGAACTGTTACACAGTTGATATGTGAGTTCTCTTCTAACACATTTACTTCCTCAAATAATATGCGTGCTAGGTAAGGTACAGTCGAATTCTTGTACTTGGCTTTATGAGTGTACAGAGTCTTATGTATTTTCTACTTGTCCTCCCTGAGGAGATACATGGAGAGAGCTATGAATGAAGTGGATGCTCAGCGTCAGTTAAAATTAGTGTAGCTAGTCGACTGCGAGAGTTTAAATGTCTATCAACCACAGTGTTAATCAGTTGGGCCAGTGGCACACCATTCACCCTACTGATTGACGTCTTTCAAAGCCCTATGCAATATAACACGTAGTCCTTATTTAGTGGTGGACCAGAAAAGATCAACGGAGGACAATACAGAAGAATAGGTAAAATGTAGGAATTAATAAATTGTAAAACTAGAGCCATCGGCTTATACCAGAGAGCCTCAGTTTCTTTATGTAATATGTTAAACGAAAGATTTTCTTACAAATCAACAAGATATGAAGCGACCAGGAAAGATCAGAAGTAAAAAGCAATAGAAGATCGACAACGTTCTATTTACTTTCTGCAGAAATACACCATTAATCCAACTGGAGTCATTAGACTTAAGCAGCTCACACAAGTCCGTCTTGTTTACACCTGACGATAAAATTAACAGTCTGATATTTAGAAGGGTTTAACTTGAGAGCATTTGGGAGAGGCCATTGGTCAATTACAGACAAGAATCCATTTATTTCATAGGAATCTAAGTGAGAGTTAACTGAAATAGACACAGTAAGGCTACTCTTATCATATGAATCGTTTGATTTCAGTCGGGTAGTGATAAGCTTCATGCATAATTTCTTCTTCCATCCGTAATTCAAATATTTAACTAACAATTGTCTTCGTCTTTTAATCTCTAATCAGTTGAAAGCATGACAGACAATCATCAGCCTCATCATAGTTGATAATATGATGGACGTATTTATCTTGGTAAATTACAAACTCAGACTGAAATTAAAATCTGGTAAGCAAATGATTCTCGTAGCTTACTTCATCTAACAGGACTATGTCATCTGCGTATTCGAGATCCAAAGAAAACTCTCCCGAGGTTGACGTAATCCCAGGAGAATGTTCGCTAGACCTAGAATATGCAAATGGCATAGTCCTGTTAGGTAAAGACGCTGACAAGATGCAGAGTCTTCTGGACACTTTGAGTGGCAATTTGAGGAAGTTTGGAATGCGTTTTTCACCACCCAAATGCGCATTATTGCTCCAGGATTAGTCTTTAGCTAACAATAGAGAGTGAAGTGGTTGAGTGTATCGACCACTTCATTTACCCGGAAGTAAAATCAGCAGTGGTGGCTCAGTAGCCGATGAAATCTCACCACAGATACATAAGGCTCGACTGGCTTTTGCCAACTTACGCGACCTGTGTCACCGCCGTGATATCCGATTGTCTATTAAGGGTCACGTATACTGCACAGCAGTCTGCTGTATTCTACTGTATGGCTGTAAGACATAGCCACTGAAGGTGGGAGACATGAGAAGGCTTCAGGTGTTTGACCACCGTTTCTTTCGAAGTATAAGCCGTATTCCGTGATGTCACCATGTGAGTACCGCAGACGTCAAGCGTAGAGTCTTAGGGAGAAGAGGTAAGTCAGTTGATGGGGTTGTGAACCTTCATCGACTAAGATGGCTGGTTGGGACACGTGTTACGTATGCCCAGTTACCATCTGTCTCGTCACACAATGTTGGCCGAAGTAGGTTCAAGCTTGAAAAAGGCTCGAGTTGGCGAGACTAAAATAAGGCACCATTGTATGTAGTGCTTGACTGTTGGTTTGAGTCTTGTAGGGCTATGGAGATTAGCCAAGTGAGGTCCACGGGACAAGAGAAACCAGTAGTTTGAGACTCCAGGCGATCACTTGGCTGAAAATCGAAGTCAGTGGCTCAGATGTATCTTCACACACATCACCTCATCTTAATGATGCTATACCGAATCTCACCATTTTCTCATTTTCCCTTTCTCTCTTTTAGTACTTCGTATTTCTTTTGAATGAATTTTCTTTTCCTCATCTTCCACTTCACTACCTTTTTATTTGACTTACTGATCTGATGTGTGGCAAGTTGGACCGTTACGCAGTAATGCCTGATCCTATGTTGACTTGGATTGGATAGCATACGTTTAAGACCACTTGGTTGGTAACCTGAAGACCACCAGTTCCACTCCTGTCGCGACTCAGTTTCTCAGTTCACCTCGAATCATTATCCTCTATCGGTATTACCAGGCTGTCAAACCAGCACTGTCAAGGATATTCGTATTGGTAATAGTTTTTAAGATTCGAAATCAGTTAAGTTGCTGTTTTGATTCTTGTAGTTTACCGTTGCTATGTAGGGCTGAATTGATCGACCCCCACTAGAAGATTGGCGATTATCTTTTACTACTTGATACTGCAGAATATTCATGATGTTATATTGATCTTGCTTGGTGACTAGTAGAGAAATCCAAAATGTGCGTTTTGTCCTACTTGGAACTCTTCAACTGGATATACCTGCACCCCAGTGAATAATGTTGTTCGCACTCGGACTCAAACGTCGTATACACCGCTTCTAACGACAAACCGTTATCCACTGAGCCACTGGGACACAACAGATAGTGGCCTAGTGGATTAAACCTCATCATTTAAAACTGTATGTACTGCAGTGATGAGATTAGACGAAATTTTCAAAACTCCTAAGGAAAAGTCGTGACCGATGGGGTGAATCATGTCGGACATGAGAGCAGATACTCAGCGATAGTATTGACTGGAAGTCACACTATAAATTACTAGATTTCGACCGAGTGGTTGAATGAGTACGTTCCTTAGCAAGATCATAGGTATGCACTGCTGACGGGTTGCATATTAAGACGAAACACCTGTCTAGTGCTCCCACTTTCTCAATAGTTCTTCACTTTATAACAAATATCACCTTACGATCAATAAATCATCACAGTACTCCAAAGTAAAGGTAAAATTTTTGATGAATAAAAACTTCTCTTAACTTTTTTTAAAGCTTACCTAAAGATGTATTGAATGGATTAAAGTATCCACTTTTAGCGAAATTCACATCTACAATAAGTTGAATGAATTGAGCCAAAAAATGTAGGCCAACTGATGTATACCATAGGATTACTGTAGGATGTAGAATATTTGAACGATAATGATGAACTACAAGTAAGAGAATAAAACAATAGGGAAGATAATTATTACTTAAATAGGATGGTTCATTTGCAGAGGATTAACAGGTTGCACAGTCAATGTTAATCTTTCTAACACCTGATTAGTTATTCTTACGACTGGCAGTATGTGTAGGTCAGCTGACTAGTTTCATGCAACCTGAACCATTTGGATCTAAGACATGAATTTGTCCGGATACACTACAAGTGAGCTGGCTTTACGCCAGATGAGTGAAACGGCTGTTTGGTATATAGACCACATTTAACTAGCTGGCAATTCTATAGATCAGTTTGAATGGTTTCTGGCTATTCAAAATATTCAGCAGTATATTTTCCGCATCTTGGATTCCACTGCTAACCACTACTCATCATTACTATGCATAATTAAAACATAGACAATATCGAGGCATACACACAGCAGCCCAAATACCAACAGGGACTGATCAATTCGGTCTAATCAACGACGGTGTAATACAAGCAATAAAACTAAAACTACACTCGTCACATAAGAAGTGGTTTTCGTAGCTCTATGGTGTACTGAATAATGCTCTCGCGTCTGAAGAGATCGCTAACCGAGTCTGAATCCCGGTGGGAACAACATCACTTACAGGGAGGCAGGTACATCCAGTTGACGAATCCCAAATAGGACGAAATGCGCATCCTGGATTTCACTGCTAGCCACTGCCCATCACTAGCATACTTTCCGTTCTTATTCATTCTTTTATAAGAACATTACTCAATAGGAGGCTGATACATCCAGCTAATGAGCCCCAAATAGGACGATACGCAAGTGCTGAATTCCACCGGTAGCTACTGTCCATGTTTTGGTGGTTATCCTCGCACTGTTGAGCTTTTTGACTGTCAGGTCAGTGGAATTCCTCATCAACTTGTCAGCATTCATGTTTATAAATAGAAGGAGCTGCAAGTGGCTCACACACCAACTACTACTGTTACTGCTGTAGTAGGCGCTACTGATCCTTAGTGGATCTAAGTAGTATATGTTGAGAGGACGGCGGAAATCATTGGCAATTGTCAGCAATGGCTAAATATTCTGCCCAGAGAAACTCAAGAAACAATATGGGCATACTGAGAGCGAATCAAGATTGAAGCAGGAAAGGAAATGAATGGCTTTTTTCTCTCCATCGCTATCTTTTACTGGTAGCTACCTTCGGGATGAAATAAGCTTGGAATTCACGTCATTCAGTAATCAGTATATGTGTAGACATAGATCCAATCTATTAACCCATAAGAAAAATGATAAACGACAGAAAGGCCAGAGGTCAAGCAGAGAAACAGCCAACAGGAAAATCTGTATAGTCGGTGAATGACACAACAATCGAAGGAAAGAACCAATCAGGAACCAGTTCATCAAGACAAGCTACCAAATCACTCACGGAATACACTGACAGCTCACTACTTCACATTAAAGTTAGTGCTGATGATGTCGTCTAGGAGCGAGATGATGAAAGTTCCACGACTAAACAGCCCATGGTTTGCCAAGATAAATGTATGTATACATACATTGGGTAAGGTGTAACTTACACAGTCCCGTTTAAGTCATCTCCCTAGGTTATATTCAAGTTTCTAAACAAGACATTCACACATAACTTGCAACATAATGTTCGTTATAGTTCATCCAAGGTTTGTATGGTGTCGATAACGTGGTAAATGGATGTCGCGAAAAGCTTAAACAAATCATCTATAACCTGATTGGTTGTTCTCAAGGTTTCCAATCACTAAAGTTTACTTGAATCGAAAATCTAAATAATTATTGTTTTTTTAGTCAGAAAGAATGAGAACCACAATCAAATAATCACGAATATCATTCATACTTCTGTCTTATTCTTTCATATTTCGATTAAGCTGCCTTGTGATGTTGGTAGTATTAGGATCAACTTGGACATACTTACTCGGGGGAATTAATATCAATAGCAGTTATGACCTGTGTTTGGACAGTTCACTCAACCCCAAATAAGGCTTAGATCAGAACATCAGCTAAACCTTCAAAACAAAAATACAATAACATTAACTTGTAATGATTACTTAGATTTGCTGTATCAGTAGTATAGTTTCACTGTCTGAAAATTATTTATTAATGTATCCATGACGTCAGTAGGTCATCTTTACAGCACCTCAGATAATCAGTTATATTTCTTAATTCTATGTGAAAGCCACCTTTCTAGTCAGAATATCGAGACCTCATTGGTTATTCTAGTAACTACTAGGGTGATCTTTAAAGTCATTCCGTTTACAGCATAAAGAATCACGGAAACATGAGATCGGCATATAGTTTGTGTACATTATTATTATTATTTATCTCTTGGGTTCCTAGTGGAACATCGGGCTTCAGTGGTACACCTCCATTCCACTCTCTTCTCTGCCATCTTTTGAACATCACTCTACAACAGTCCACAAGCTCTCATTTATTACTCACACCATCTCCTCTATGTCACCCTCACCTCGGACACCCAACTCGTCATTTCCCATCTGGGTTCCACTCGAGTGCCTGGCCTAGTGCGTGGTGTTCCTGAATGGTCTTCTCACTGCGTGCCCAATCCATTTCCACTTCCTTCCAGTGCATATTTGTTCAGCGATAGGTTCTTGCTTTGTTGGTTCGTTCCCACAGTTCCTTGTTGCTTATTCTGATCTTCAGCAGCGAGCATAGGCAGTTGTTGATGAGTATGTGTAGTTTATTGGAAATGCTTTTCGTAACGCGCTGAGTCTCTGAACCATCACATAGAAGCACTGACTGACTTGACTGACTTATTGTTGAAACTCCGGATGTTGTTCATGTTTTATGCTGATTGTAGAAGATCTCCACACTGGTATCAGGTTAATGAACGCCTGTCTTGCTATCTTTCCGATCCTGGTTGGCTTTGGCGTCCTCGTCTGTACCACGTGTAGTTGAAACAATGCTGCCTAGGTGGGTAGGTGAAAGAGGCTACTTCTTTTAAGTTTCTCCCGTGTAACATGGTAACAGCCAATGCGAAACACTTGGTCATAAAACATCATAGCAAACGGTTTTTATGTATAGATTTAGAATCAAACTGTCGTAGAACTCAAACAAGATACAAAAGTTGTTTCTTCATCATCTCTGAGATGAATGGTTCTGGTTTAGAGTATTCATTGTACAATATCTTCCTTGGGTAGGAGACATTTTATTTATCGTAACTTTGAGTTGAACTGAATACTCTCAGGAGCTTTATCGTACTTATATAGAGGCGGATTCTCCTAACCCCACTGATCTGTCAACTTAAGACTTCCCATCAGGTTTTCAATTAACTAATACACTTGATTTATGTTTATAATCACCAAAACATTTCCGACGTTTGGATCACAGCCTACATTCAAGACTTGCATACTACTACTACTACTACTACTACTACTACTACTACTACTACTACTACTACTAAAACTTAGTTTCAATCTTTGAAATATTTTTCAAGCTTAGAAGAATAAGTCATCTTTTCATAGCTCTAAAAACTAAGATTATGATTGAGAATACATTCAGTGGACAATCATCGAAGTTGTATTGACATAAACTTGAGAATGATATACACATTGCATGGTTCAAGTTGAAGTTTCTTACAGCTGAGTAGACTTTCAACTGCTCAACTATGATGTCAGCAGAGTTTCTATTGGAAACCGCCTATCAACCAAGATGATAAAATTTAATCTCTGACACAAAATTGTCATGAGCTAACGAAACATACTACAAGTGAATAACGTGAATGATTAGAAACCAGTCAGCTAGCCAGCCAAATTCAGATGATCTGAAGTAATTCAGCTGTATCAACTGAATTTGTTTGGGTACACCTCTGATGACCTGGCTCCGTTTGGAGATGAGCAAAACAACTCATCTGACCTAGTTGTTGACATCTACAGACCAGTTTGAGTAATTTGAGGGAAGCGGTAGAGCTGTAATGCATTTGGCATGGTAAACATTTAACCTTCTGTTGGTTATTTACACTTTGTATTTCAGTCACCAAGATATAATTCAGCTTAGCTTCAATATGGTTTCTTGGATTTAATGTTGAAAAGTGACTATCAGTGGAGTAAAAGACGTACATTTCTTCTTATATGGGACTCATTGGTCAGTTGGATGTAACTGGAGCCTAGTGAGCCTTGGATTTATTAAAGCAATAAGAGACTATACATTAGGTATAAAGAGGTAAAAACGCAACTTACACAACAAGATGTTGGCCATGAAAAACAACCATGCCAGGAATAAGAAAAATACTAAATCAATTTCTAATTTTCCTGAGAAAAAAATAAAAAAAAGATGAGAAAAAAGATGTAAGATTGTTATTTTCAATAATGAATTTCTTTATCAGTTAGACTATTGTTTTTTTGAGGGAGTTGTGGAGATTTGGAAATATTCCAAGTTGTTATTAATCATAGACTGACATCAGTTGGAAGAACAGAGGAAACCTGAGAGCACTGGACAGCTGTTTCGTCCTAGTATGGGACTCCTCAGCAGTGGACACCCACGACCCCACCGGCAGGGATCGAACCCGCGACCTTCAGGCTCCGCGGCCAGCGCGTTACCAATGAGCCACTGGGTCGGGACCCAATGCTCCATATTTCCAACTTCTGTTAGCTCACGATATAGAGCAACCACCAGCCAATGTCATCGTTGAGTAACTGTCCTCACGACCATCAGGCTTTGACTCCACCGGTGACGGCTTCTCATTGGAACTTCGGGAATACTTCTCAAAGCTGGTCACCAATGAGCACAAGTTCAATTGAGTTTTTTTGAGGGGGTTGTCGAGATTTGGAAATATTTCAAGTTGTTATTCATCGTAGACTGACATCAGTTGGTCGCAGTTTCGATCCCTGGCGGGGTCGTGGGTGCGCACTGCTGAGGAGTCCCATACTAGGACGAAACAGCTGTTCAGTGCTCCCAGGTTTCCTTTGTTCCTCCAACTGATGTCAGTCTACGATGAATAACAACTTGAAATTAAACTATTTGATACAGTCATGATTTGGTGATACATGATGATGTTTAAAGATGAAATGAAAAACTATTCAGTAGGTCAATTAGTAGATCGCTAGGCTGGTACCTCCAAGACAGTTGGTTCGAATCCCGCCCATGACCCAGGTTTTCATTTCCGATTTAGTTATCACTCTGTATCAATAAATTTTTTATTGATAAATGGAACAATGGAGATTACGAGTGCTCCATAACTTATTGGCATCAACTTCTGAAACCATTTGTAGGCATAAACCTGGGCAGGATCATTGGTTCCTGAAAAGTAGGGGCTTCTCACTGTGTAGTGGGTAAACGCCAACTAAGAGTTATTGATTAGCGTTTATGTTCATTTTTTTATTATTTGATTGTAAGGTGTTCTACACGATGATATAGATAGACAGTCAAAATCACTATAGACCCTCATCCAAAAGCGTATCGGTTGAAATTGTTACACTTCACACCAGGAAGTAAAGAACAAGTGGGTCGAATATGATCGATATCAAACTACACAAGGGTGAATAGGAGGAGAAGGAATTCGAAAATAAAGGTTAGTCAAGCTATTTAGGCTTTAGAAGACTTTAAGGATTGAATACATCTGCCCTATTGTGACCGATTCTTAGGCATATCATCAAGGATCTAAAATCGTTGATTCATGTCGTTTGATTTTGAAGTTTGTGGGAATTTTATTGATTTCAGGTTGGTATTCATCATGAACTGATATCGGTTGTAGAAATATTGGGAAACTAGGAATATTGAACAGCTCTAGCACCGAATCCATTAATCTATATTTACTACTTCCATCACTTCAAGACATAGCGTGACCTCCATCCATTGCTGTCATTGAGTAACTGTCCTCATGTTAAGAAGTCGAACATAGTCAATGAATTTACCGATCGGTCCCATATCTTGGTCTAGGCAACCTTCAACCCTCTTCCAACTTAATCCAACTTTTTCTAGAATGGCAAATCGGGGTAGGCGGTGGCTCAGCCTGGCACGTGCACCACATGCTAAGTTACCTGAGTCGACGAAGATTTAATACAGTAGTGACTAATTTGCCTTCCTTCTCCGGAATAGAATAGATATTCAGCTGTATTATTTGTCACAGCTATCAGCTTTCTAGTCGGTTAATCCAATCGATAACTGTTAGTATACTTCATTATTAATTCTGCTAAATTAGGATAGTCTTGGATGTCTTAATTAATGGAATTATTGTATTGTCTGGACTTGGCTTTTATGACAATAATCTTGTTCCTTTAGATAAGATATTACTGACAAGTTCTTCATTCAAAAAATAAATAAGATGATAATTTTACTTGTAAACATTGGTAGTCAGTTGACAAGAATATTTGGAGATAAATTTCGTCCTTGTTGGTATTCGTCAGTAGCGCGAATCTGCAAATGTGTACAAACCAGTATTTCTAAGGTACTGTTCATCACAGACTGGCATCAGTTGGAGAAATATTATGAACCTGGGATCACTGGACAGTTTTCTACCCTAGCTTGGGGTTACTTAATAATACACATCCATGATCTCGCCAGGAGTCGAACTCAAGACCTTCAAGCATCATGGAGAACTCATTGACTATTCAGTCATTGGATCGAAGATGAATGGTCAACATTTTCCTACTTTCATCAGTTCGAGGTACGGCGCGACTATCTAGTTAGCTTCCATTGGTCATGGCTTCTAATTAGAACTTTGGGATATGTACCTCGAAACTTTTATTTCTTTAGTGATCCATATGAATACTTCAGTTCTACAGGGCATCATTTGTATCATGAGTGATTCATCGGCGAATTCTTCAATAGATTGAAATCATCAGGGAGACACCAGGTTCATCACAGTTACAGAAACACCTTACTGATGAGTGCCACCAAGTATGAAATCCAGTTCCAGAGCCTCCTAGGAGCAGGCGGCCACCAAGATACAGTCCATTCTAGTGTGACATCTTTAGGCTCAGAAATCAGATTAGAAATGTGGCCGATGAACTCCAGTTAGTGTTGACTACTATGGACTAGATACTTACACATCGGTAATCCACTGGTAACAAATTCGTATGGTGTACAAATGAGTGTGAGTAGTTATCAGATGTAAAAATCCTTGTAACTTGTTAACAGGATAAGTTGATAACAGCTGATACTTATATTTAATGCAGTTTTGAGGTGAATGGGAATTTTTAATTTACAAGTGGTATTCATCATGGACTGATATCAGTTGGGGAACCATTAAAAATCTGGGAGCACTGGACAGCTGTTTCGTCCGACTAGTATGGGACTATTCAGCAATACGCACCCACGACCTGGCTAGGGATGGAACTCAGAACCTTCAGATTTCGCGGTGAACGCATTAACCATTCAGTCACTGGGTCGGTTTCCAGTGGTTTACAATTTTCAACTTTTGTCAATTCACGACATAGCACGACTATCACCCAAGGTTAACGCGTTCGCCGCGAAATCTGAAGGTTCTGAGTTCCATCCCTAGCCAGGTCGTGGGTGCGTATTGTTGAGGAGTCCTATACTAGTCGGACGAAACAGCTGTCCAGTGCTCCCAGATTTTCAATGGTTCCCCAACTGATATCAGTCCATGATGAATACTACCTCTAATTTAGATTTAAGTTAAAGAAATTTGTCATCAAGGATCTTATTGACTCTTTAAAAACAATAAAACAAAGAAACAGACAAACAAATTTACAACACTGTAAACATCGTGGACATCGTAGACACTAGAGAAAAATGAAATGACATGGTGAATAGTGTTCACATTTGATGGAGATGTTCATTGTCCTTATCATTATTATTATTATTATTATTATTATTATTATTATTATTAGTCCCTTGGGTTCCGAGTGGAACATAGGGCTTCAGTAGCACGCCTCCAGTGACCTCTGTTCTCTGAGATCTTTTGAACCTGGTTCCACGACAGCCCAGAAGCTCTCATTTCCTCCTCGCATGACCTCCTCCATGTCACCCTCGGACGTCCAACTCGTCGCTTCCCATGGGGATTCCACTCGAGGGCCTGACGCGTGATGTCCTCAGTCGGCCTTCTCAGTGCATGCCCAATCCATCTCCACTTCTTCCTGCATATTTGTTGCGTGATAGGTTCTTGGTTGGTTCGTTCCCAGAGTTCCTTGTTGCTTATTTTTTCTGGCCATCTGATCTTCAGCAACGAGCGTAAGCAGTTGTTGATGAATGTCTGTAGTTTATTGGAAATACCTTTCGTGGCGCGCCAAGTCTCTGAGCCATACAAGAGCACTGACTTGACGTTGGTGTTGAAAATCCGTATCTTGTTCCGCATGCTGAGTGCAGAAGATCTCCACACTGGTTTCAGGCTAATGAACGCCTGTCTTGCTTTTCCGATTCTGACTTTGACGTCCTCGTCCGTCCCGCCTGTAGTTGAAACAGTGCTTCCTAGATAAGTGAAGGAGGTTACTTCCTTCAAGTTTCTCCCGTTGACGGTGATTGGAGTTTGTTGTTGTTGTTGATGGTGGTGGTGCGGTATCTTCATCACTTCTGTCTTCTCTATATTCACCTGAAGTCCCGTCTTAGCTGCCTCTTCTGTCAACTTGTTAGTTTTTGCCTGCAGATCTTCAAGTTTATGTGACATTAGGCACAAGTCATCGGCGAAATCCAAGTCTTCTAGGTTCTTTTCCGTCGTCCAGTGTATCCCCCTCTTCTCGCTGCCTACTGTTTGCTGCATGATCCAGTCCACCACAATAAGGAATATCATGGGGGATAGTAGGCAACCTTGTTTCACTCCTGTCTTCACTTCAAAGGCATCACTGAGCTTCCCATTGTGGATTACTTGGCATGTGGCATCTTCATATAGTTGTTGAATGAGGCGGATAAAGGTTTGCGGTACTCCGTAGTATTGAAGCAGTTTCCAAATTACTTCTCGGTCGACGCTGTCAAAGGCCTTCTCAAAGTCGATGAAGTTGAGGTATAGAGCTGATTGCCATTCTACGCTCTGTTCTATGATGATACGAAGCGTTGCAATTTGGTCAGCACATGATTTGTACTTCCTGAAGCCTGCCTGTTCCGGTCGCAGTTTTGAATCCAGTGCGTCTTTAAGCCTCTCCAGGATGATGCGGCTTAATATTTTACTTGGGGTGGACAGGAGAGTGATTCCGCGCCAGTTCTTGCAAGCACTGAGGTCTCCCTTCTTCGGCAGTTTGACAAGGTAACCCTTCTTCCAATCGTCAGGTACCTTCTCTTCCTTCCACACCTTCTGCAATAGTGGTGTGAGCATGTCCGCTGTTGTCTCTGCATCTGTTCTCAGTGCTTCTGGCGGTATTCCATCTGGTCCTGCTGCTTTCCCGCATTTCAGTAGCTTTATGGCGTTCAGGACTTCCATTTTCGTTGGGGGATTTATGTTCACTTGTAATTCAGCGGCTGCAGGTGGTATTTCTGGACGAAGTGCAGGTGGTGGTCGATTCAAGAGCTTCTTGAAGTGGTCGGCCCATCGTTTCCTCTGTTTCTCTTCTTTTGTAATTAAATTTCCTTCTTCATCTTTTATTGGTTTCATCTGTGTTGGTCTCTTCCCTGATAGCAACCTGGTTATTTGATACAATGTCGTCAGGTCTCTCTTACCTGCAGCCTGTTCTGCTTCACTTGCCAGTGTTTCGTAGAAGTGTCTTTTGTCTTTGCGTGCACTCTTCTTCACTTCTTTATCCAGTGTTTTATACATTGTGCTCAGTTCCTCTTGTCGTTGAGCATCCTTGCACTGGTTTATCTTCTGCTTCACCATCCTCCTCTCCTCTATCAGCTTCCAGGTATCCGTCGAGATCCATTCCTTGTCTTCTTTCTTCTTCCTTCCTAATACGGCTGTGCAGGTTTCTTTCCACATAGCTTTCAAAGACTTCCAGTGTTCTTCCACACAGGTTTCTTCAGGGATGTCCCTCGACGTCTCCCATTTTGTCTTGATGGCTGCTTTGAAGATCTCCTTTGTAGTTTCATCCTTCAGTTTCCGAGTGTTGTACTTGAATTGAGGTCTATCACCAGCTTCCTTGAAGGCTTTTAACTTGATTTGGAAGGTTCCTTGCACTAGATAGTGGTCTGAACCTACATCTGCTCCTCTTCTTGACCTTGTGTTAAGTAGACTGCGTCTCCATTTTCTTGAGATTGAGATAAAGTCGATTTGATTTTTAGTGTGTCCATCTGGTGAAGTCCATGTCGCTTTGTGGATATCCTTGTGCCTGAACACACTGCCTCCAATCACCAAATCGTTGAATGCACAGAATTCTGCAAACAATTCTCCATTCTCATTCATTTCACCTAGCGCCTCTCGACCCATGGTTAGTTCTCTTCCCGTGTTGTCCCCTCCCAGTTTGGCATTCATGTCGCCCATTAGAATTTTGATATCGCCAACTGACGTCTTGTCCAGTGTTGATTGAAGTTGTCTGTAGAAATCCTCCTTTTTCTCTTGCTCTGCATTATTTGTAGGTGCATAACATTGTATGATTGTGACCTTTCTTCCTTTTGAGTTGAATCTTGCTGTCATGATCCTGGAGGAGATTGGTTCCCACTGCATGAGAGCCTTCGATGCTCTTGAGGACATCATGATAGCCACTCCCTCAGTGTGCTCGTGGTTGGCGTCTGGGTGACCGGAGTAGATTATTGATTCTCCAGTTGACAGTTTGGAGAGTCCACTCCCATTCCATCTGCTTTCGCAAATCCCAAGCACTTCGATGTTATACCTTCTCATCTCCTTTGCAATCTGGGCTGCCTTACTGGGTTCAAACATCGTGCGGACATTCCATGTCCCCACGTTTACTTTCGCTTTCATCGAGAGAAGACACATCGGCCAATTGGCTTCCCGAAGGCTTTCACCAACTGGCGTCATTTCGCCTCTCCGATTCCAGCGGGGAATAAGTTTGTTTTCATTTTTTATATTTTGTTTGTGCTTTGAAGTTTCTTTAGCGGTTAGATTTGTTTTACGGGGTAGGGTTGCTAGCCCTATGCCCAACCTTCCCTCTTTACCCGGGCTTAGGACCGGCTAGTAACTAGTAAACTAGTTAACCAGGCGAGGTTCATTGTCCTTATCAGATAGAATAATTAAGATAAAAATTCATTCTTAGAAATGATTTTCTCTATATCAGTCAAAGAGTGGAAAAAGTGAATTCCAGATAAGTGTCATTAACTTTATTTTAGAGGTTATGACTTATTTGATAACCTTATTGCATAATTGTATTAGTTCAATAGCTTTCAACTGATACCTTATAGTTCTGTTGAGTTAGATCAATCATCTATTGTGTGCTATCTTATTTCCTATGCATGAAATTGACTATTTCATTTTTAGAAAATCATGGTACGTTGTGGTTCAGATTACCGAAAAAATATAACTAGACAATGAACATCAGATCTTGTCTTCTTTTGTACGCCGTTCGGCGGGAGGTGGGGGATAGGGTGGGCAACAAAAGTAACTCATCATGTGAATGAACTGTAACTCAACAGGTCACCTTGGCAACTCCTGAAATATTCACTTAGGTTTCACTGTCCTCTTTTAATCCATTTTTTGGTATTATCATACAGTGAAAGTACAGTATTATTTGCTGGATAACGTTTCGGACATAATTTATTGTCCATATTCATATCAGGTAACTCCGATTTTTTTCTCCTTCTTTGTGATGAAGGCAGTAGAATTTTCCGTATATCTGGGACAGGTACAGAACCTTCCCATAACTTCATTCATTTGGTGTTTATTCGATCAACAAAGATTCAGCCAGCAATTAGTCTTTCCTTGCCTCCACCCAACTTAGTTTTCAACACTATCACTCTATTGCATCCTACTGTATGATTGTGTGTTACTGCTTGCAGAGCTATAACCGAGCTTTTCTCTAAATTCCTTATCTTATTAGGATCTACTAATCTTGATTTAGCTAAGTTTTTGTGCCTTGTTATTCTAATCGACCCAAGTCGACTACTTTGCCCTATGTAATTAACCTCTCAATCATTGCTAGGGATTTGGTAAACCAAATTATTTTGTTTAATTGTATCAGTAGGATGTTTTAACCCACAAAGCTTGTTTCTAATTGAGTTTTGCTGGTTTAAATGCCACTTTAATTACAACCAGCCTTATTGAGAACACTTCACAGCGTTTATGAGGTGCCTTCTTCGTATAGTAACAGAGTAAAGGCTTTGAATTCTCTCTCAAATATGTCATGATTGTTACTATTATGACTAGGTGGATAATAATGGAGAAACAAGGTATTCTCGCTGTATATAATTTCTTGTCGTAAATTTTTTGTTCGCCCCCTAACCGATAACAATAAATATTCAGGCAAAATGCAACCAGAACCTATCGCTGAATAAATATGCACTGGAAGGAAGTGGAGATGGATTGAGCATGCAGTGAGAAGACCATTCAGGGACACCACGCACTAGGCCAGGCACTCGAGTGGAACCCAGATGGGAAACGACGAGTTGGGTGTCCGAGGTGAGGGTGACATAGAGGAGATGGTGTGAGTAATCAATGAGAGCTTGTGGGCTGTTGTAGAGTGATGTTCAAAAGATGGCAGAGAAGAGAGTGGAATGGAGGTGTACTACTGAAGTCTGATATTCCACTAGGAACCCAAGGGAAAAATAATAATAATAATATGCAAACATCGGTATATCAGCCTACGTGTCAACAATGGCTGATTAACTCTATCCAGTAAAACAAGGAAAAACTGCAAACATCGATAAATAATAATAAGGCCAAAAGAGTTACAACTTTTATTATCATTGTCTTCCTGTAATCAACTTGGTGTGGTTATCTTTTATCGATCAGATTTGTGAATAACGTCATCAGTCAAGGCGGTAAGTAACTATGATATAGCTTCCTATTCTACTTTATAAGATATTCAGAATGGATGTTGTAATCGAATCACATGAGAAAAACGAACTTCATCAAATTGACAGATGTCAATCTTTCCCATTAAACTGTACATTTCATTCTATAAATGATAAGACAAGATTATGGTGTATTGAAACAGTGTGATAAATTCTACACATTTTTGTATTTCATTCTCATGAATGATGTTAACAAAAGATACAGTGATATACAGTATAGCATAGAACCTATTTTATGAGTAGTATGTAAAGTGTTAACTAAAAAGTTTTTCATGATATTCAACTGAGTATTTTCTTTTTTAGGAAAAAAAATTGAGAGTAAAATATTTACCGAATTCTTGTGTTGAAAAGTGTTCTCGAAAATAATGACCATATTCACCATTCCTTAGTGTTATACGATAAGCAATTTTATTTCTTATGTTAGTATACTGTGATTTACGCAATGATTTGATCTCATTCTGAAAAATAAAAGAAATACAAAGGAGATTAAGTATATAACAACATTCAGGCATTTAATTAAACAATACTGAAAACATTGACTATCACCTCATTATTATCATCAAGTTTTGTACTTGGATGATATGTAAAGTGCTGGAAATAACTTCATATATCACCAGATAATGATCGGGATATTCAGTCATTTTTCAAAGACTATATTGGATGTTGTAAGCTGACTTTCCAAGAAATGCATTGTTGAACACTATCCAGTTTGGTTAACCAAAGGCTCGTGAAGAACAATAACTTCATGTGTATGTAAACACACTAGGGGATTAAGTCATTCAGCTCCTTGAGAATAATCTTTTAAGGTAATTTAAAAAGCTAAATTGAACTCTTGCTCGACTTCTGCTGACAGATGAGCATCTATGCGGATTCCTTGATACTCTGCAATTACTCATTATATTGCAGTCTAGTTAGCGACCAGCAGGGGGATCCAGGACGCACGTTTTATCCTATTCAAGATTTGTCAGCTGGTGAACATTCGCGTAGTATCAAGGTATCCCCATAGGAACCCTTCACTTCGATACTTTATAGCAACGGGAAATTACAAATATCAGTCAACAACAACTTATACCCGTTACACAGGTGCTGGCTGTCGAACCCCAGTGGCCTACTGGATAACGGTCTGGTGTTTGAAGTGATGGGTACTGGGCTCAAGTATGAGTAGCAACAGCATCGCTCACCGGGGTGCACGTGAAGCCACCTGACGAGTCCTGAATAGGACGAGACGCGCTTCTTGAATTCCCCTGCTAGGAGTGAAATAGACTACAGTGTCTCATGTGTATATTGACTGAGAAACGTTTTGGTGGATTTATCTGATATTTTAATGATTTGGAATATCACTGTATAGCTTGATAATAAGGTAGCTGATAAAATGTCTTGTTCTTCTTATTCAAGAATATATGAGTGTATTTCGTTAGGTGGTCAGTTCGCAAGTGATTTACGAATTCCATCGTCTATATTGACATCTCCCAGAGTTTAGTAAGTTTTCAACTGCCTAACTGTGGCGTCAACAGGGTTTCCCATAGGAAATTACTCAACCAAGATCATATGGTGTGATCTCAAACTTCGAAATATCATAAAGTAACGAATTATACTACTAAGCGAAATGTGTGATTAGAAGGTATATACACGCTGATCCGTAGACTTTGCAACACACATAAGAGTGATCTAAACACCAGTCCGCTGTTTTATTTGTCTAGCAGCAACCTCATCAGCCGTTAACTCGGGAAGATTCAGCTAGCTAAGACAACCAAATTATTTTGATCATCTGAATCTGGTCATCAAAATCTGGAGATTAGTAGGAAAGGTTTCTAACCACTTATACACATTCACGCACTAGGTTCTGCTAAAGGTGGATAGCCATTGATGTCGAAAACTTGGAGAGTTTCGAGTTGAATCAGGGTAGAAATTATTGGTAAATCTTGAACTTCAAATGGCATCCGTCACGTCATATCCTCAGACAAATCTACATTCAAACAATATTACCTTATTAGTGTTATTGCTTGTATTATAACGTCGTTGATTTGACCGAATTGATCGGTCTGTATTGGCATATGGGCTTCTGTGCGAATGCCTCGATAATGCCTGTGTTCTTAACTATATAGTAATGATGAATAGTGGATAACGCTACCCCGTTTGAAGCGATCGCCCCCCAGTCTGAATCCCGGTGGGACAACATCACTTACTGGAAGGCAAGTACATCCAGCTGACTAGTGAGTACTAAATAGGACGTAATGCGCATCCTGGATTCCACTGTTATACACTATCCATCCTTAATATTGGCTCATCCGAAAAATTTTGATTATAACAAAGATTCTTGTACTGAAAATTACAACAGATTAGGAAGTACTTGTTAGACAGATAATTTTATCCTTTAAGTCCTCATCAATGTACATTTATCAGCAATTCGTCGTCAGAGTAAATTACTTTGGTGTATAGGATGAGTATCGTGTTGTAAAGGTTTTTTTGTTTTTATTTCAGTAGCTAATATCCACAGCTTAAATCATTTGTCAGTCTAGATGAAATGGTTACCGAGTGAATAAGGCAAGTACATCCCGTGTTTGCTAAGCATTACTAACTAGGGTTATGAAACACACCACTGATTACTCTATAAAGTGAGTATACTACATAAAACTCCTCTCTATCTTACTGCAAAGCAATAAAACATGGTTTGTGAATGTAGAAGTTTACAGCAGTTCACTAATATATATTCTCATAATATCACCTCAGTGAGTAATCAAACGTTTTGGTTGACACTCCTAGGCAAGTAGCATAAGTCACTTTGATGTTAAATACAGCCTAGTCACTGAATGATGTTTCAAAACACTAGGAAGCATTGTTTGAACAGTAAGTAATACAATTCATAGATGTGCTTGTAATTCTCCGTTGTTTTACTGGATCAAATTGTCATATGGACTCCTAGGTGGATGCCTTGATATTACCTCAATGTTAATTGTGCTATTTTACTGGTAGTCACAAGCATAATTAACATTCAGGGAATATCGAGGCATCCGCATGGAAGCCCATATGCCAACAGAGGTCGAACAATTTGATCCAATAAAACAATGGGGAATTACAAGTATCTCAGTAAGTAGTAATAACTAATACCCGTTGTACAAGAGGGGATCATCATTCATCTATGGCATAGTGGATGACGCCTTGGGATTTGGAGCCATGGGCGCGGGATACAAGTCCTTGTAGGGGCAATACCTCTTGCTGGGGCACATGTCCGCCCAGGTGACTAATCCCAACTGGGACGAAACGCCTGACCTGGATTCGTATGTTAGCCGTAACCAATTGAAGTAGGTCACACAGTTTCAAAGCAATCCTATCAGTTCGATTATGATTCACTTACTTATTCCCCTTCTTTACTCACATTCCCTTATTTGCTTTTCTACTTATCCTTCTTCGCTTTCTGCACTTTTGTGAAACGGGGCGACAGGAATTAGAAAAAACTTAGTTTATAAGGTATCTCATTCTTTTGTCAATCAACTTTTGGTATATTACGGTAAGTTATGAGTTATAACCGCCAAATGACTGCCATTATTCAGAGTGGATTAAAAAACATTGTAAACTTCAGGATCAAAATTTAACCGTATAGAGTTGAATAAGTTGGACATTAGGTAAATGGATTATAAATGAAATATATACTTGTTAAATCTCAATGCAGAAGTGAAATAACTTTCTGATGTTTCGCGAATTCGTGGAAGTTGCTTCCTCAAAGAATAAAACTTGTACATGTTGTCGATTGTTTAAATAGTAAATCATACTCAATCAGACCACCTTCTCATCCACACATGATAACAACATGAAGATTGTTATATTGGTCACGAAGCATTCACAATTTGTCTTTCTTATCCATTATCAGTCTACAGCTGCTCAAGGTGATGTGAATATGTCCACATGTGATTGATTACGTGTGAATGTGTATAAGCGTGATACTATGCATGACAAATTCGGTTTGTTGGTTTGTGTGTGTGTCTGTATGAACTCTCATTCTGATCACTGAATGTGGTCATGTTGTTTGTGGAAATACTCTCCATGTTAGTTGGATAGTTAGGCCTCCCTCTCTCTGTTGACTGAGTCCATTAGAATTCAACATGATGTGAAATGATTCAACTATTATTCGGCCAACTTTAAACACCATCCTACCAACGATCGAAATAAACAATTAGGTTTGTAGATTTCGACTGTCAAGGCAGATTTTCAAAAAATACACAAGTTTGATTGGTTATTCCAGTTGTTGTTAGGATGGCTTTTTAAGTCACCCTATTCTTCTTCTTTCTTTGTAGTTTTAAAAACTTTTCTCAATAATTTTCAATATTTTCAATATCCATTTTGTAACTGTGATAGATGATAGATGATGGTATGAACTGAGGTTGCCAACTTGATTTGTGAAATTGTCTAGTTCAACAGGATTATTTGGTGGTGGTTTTGTGTAACTTGCATGTTCTTTAACCCGAATGACGATTTCACGGGATGATTCTCCATTAATGATAGGCATCAAAGTCGACATGGCCTAATTTATCATTTGACTGACTATCTGAGACAGCCGTAATTTGGCAAACTAGTGTTTATACTGGCTGATGATTGTACCATAGCCGGTTCCGAGCCAGCGACCACCAGGTTATTGGCCCGGTGCTGTATCAACTCAGCTACGAGGTTCGACTGCTGTCCAGCCTAATTTGTAGACACAATTCTGTGTTAAGGTGAAATGGAATTTTATCTTCTAAATGGACTGAAGCATTTCTAGGAATGTTGGTTGTCTTGTAAAAGGCTGAAATTTGTTGCTTCCCTAAGATTCTTAGTAACAGTTCAGTTGTACCTTGATAAAATGTGCTAATCCAAGAATCACCATTTGAATTTATTGTTGGATCCCTCTGTTCATGTTTCTCAATCCTCTGAATGACATTCGATGAGGGTTGTTATTAAAATGCAATGCATCTAATATGTTACTTACTCTCGTTTTACCTGTTATCTTCATTCATGATGAGCTTTGTGGCTCTCCTGAATAAATTGCGAGTAAGTGAAAGTTCAACACTGACTGGATGTGTTGAGTTGGAATAAACATATCGATTTGAATGTGTTAGTTCACGATGCATCGATAAACTCAATCTCTCGTTCCCACTTTTTTAACTAAACAATCTAGGAATGGTAGTTCACTGTTTGCATTTTCATATTAACATGTAAAATTTAATATGTGAAGAATAAGTTTTAATTAATTTCGCAAAGGTTCTGAGTCAACATCTTTAAAACAATCGATAACTTGTACAGGTTCGATTCTTTGAAGAAGCTATTTCCACGAAGCTGAGAAATGTTGGAAAGTTATTTCACTGCTTCATTGGGATTATCATGCTTTGGATTACAAATTACCACCGCAACAGGCTGGTTGGCCGGCTTCAAGAAGAATAAATCATGTGCAGATCAAATTGTAACGCTACGCTATAGATTATTATAGAACAGAGCATAGAATGGAAGTCAACTCAACCTCAACTTCATCGATTTTGAAAAAAAACCAGCTTCGGAAAGACAGCAAAACAGGCCTTCCTACATTAACCTGAAATCAGTGTGGAGATCTACTGCACTCCGCCCACCGTAAAGAACAAGATCCGGATTTTCAACACTAATATTAGTCGAGTCAGTGCTTCTATGTGATGTTTGAGTGACTTAGCGTGTTACGAAAGACATTTGGAACAAATTACAGACATTCATCAACAACTGCCTACGCTTGATGCTGAAGATCAGATGGCCAGAAAGAATAAGCAAGGAGGGACTCTGGCTTAACAACGAACCAACCAAGAAGATATCGCACAAATAAATATGCAGAAGAACGAAGTGGAGATGAATTGGGCATGCACTGAGAAGACCATTCGTAGACATTACGCGACAGGCTAGGTCATCGTGTGGAATCCAAATGGGAAACGACTAGTTAGGCATCTGAGGGTGATATGGAGATGGTTTGTAGAAGAAATGAGAGCTTATGGGCAGTGATGGAGCCAGGTTTGGAAGACTGTAGAGAAGAGAGTGAAATGGTGACGGGTTACCGAGGCTTTATGTTCCACTAGTAGCCCAAGAACCAAATAATAAATGATAATAATTATTATCAGAGTCCTAATGGATAATGCTGTGATGTTTGAGATGACCATTCTTAAGATCGAGTCTTAGTAACGATATCCAGCTGATGACTCTCAAGTGGAACAGAAACAGGCATCCTGTATACCACTGCTAACCGTGTGAACATAAAAGGTTGGTTAAAACAACTTACGTTCAATAACGGTTCATTACAACTATCAAAAGTGAAAAACCACCAAGATGGTTTTTTAACTATTAACGGAATATTTGCTGATTGACAATAAATCCACTGACTTATAACCATTGACTGTTGATCATTGTCAATATTCGATTTAAAATTGGACCAAGCCATTTTTAACACTTCAGGAAACCAAAATGTTGACTTTTTTCTTTCAGTCGTTTTGATTGATTCTGTTTTATTCATTTCCATAAGTGTTGATGCTGCTAAAAGAAAAACAAAAATTGAATATCAATATGTGAATTAAAAGATCAATGTTCAAGGGAGTTGAATACACCAAGTATTGAACAGTGACAATTGCCTGTCAAAATAAGCAGATAAATTGGTATAATTGTTTTGTTTTTATATGATACCGTCGTTGATTGGACCGAATTGATCGGTCTCTATTGGCATATGGGCTTCTTTGCGGATGCCTCGATATTGCAAGTGTTCTAATTATGTTAAGGGTGGATAGTGGCTAGCAGTGGAATCCAGGACGCACGTTTCGTCCTATTTGGGACTCACTAGTCAGCTGGATGTACCTACTTCCCAGTGAGTGATGTTGTCCCACCGGGATTTGAACTTGGGTAGCAATCGCTTCAAACGGGGGAGCGTTATCTACTGTTCATCATTACTATATATTAAGAACACAGGCAATATCGAGGCATCCGCACAGAAGCCCATATGCCAATAGAGACTGATGAATTCGGTCAAATCAACGACAGTATAGTACAAGCAATAACATAAAAACAATACCCGTCGCACAAGAAGTGTCTATCGTGGCGCGGTGGTGTAGTGAATAACGCGCTGCCGTTTGAAGCGATCTCTCCTGAGTCCGAATCCCGGTAGGAACAACACTCACTGGGAAGCAGGTATATCCAGCTGACTAGTGATTACCAAATAGGACAGAAAGCGCATCCTGGATTCCACTGCTAGCCACGATCCATCATTAAGCGGATAAATTGGCTGGAAAACTGATTATGATCATAAGCTTGTTTGATTCAATTTCAATTGAAATGAAACAGTAAGAAAGTCATTAGTAACTGAGGCAACAATTAAGTGATCACAGGAGATTAATATTAATGCACTATTGTTTCTCCCTAGTATTCGACTTCTCAGCAATACTTTACAGCCACGCAATAAGTGATCAGTTCTAGGAGGAGGGGGGTTGGGTTTGATGGTAAGTTACCATTGAGTCAATAAGTTGAAATCCAACAGTCGAAATTCTCCTACATCTGTGAATTGTCACACTGTGTAAGAGTCCAAAATATAGGACAACTAGTACTCTGAAGTTTTCAATCATTCTCAAATAGATTTCACATCACCAAGAAGATTACTTTGAAAGCTGGATTGAGTAGTTTAGTTCTTCCCACAACAAGTTAACAGCGAGAAGGTCTATTGGTTTGAAACCTGTCCGTAGTTTGCTTTTGATCAATATTATTTTGCAAACTATTCATACAGTGAACATAAAACTCAAGTAAAGAATACTTCGCACACAGTTTAACCATTAACGTTTAAAAGTTGTAGGTATTTTCACGTGTAAATTATTCTTTTGCAGATTATACCTCATCGCTTGAGTGACCTAAAGAAGTAAGTACAACAATACTAATCAAATGTGTACCCATTCAACAGTTCTTTTAATTGAAGCCTCCTGTTTAGGTTGTAAATAAACTGAGTAGAAAAAAATACTCTTGAGTATGTATTACTGAATTCAATTTAAGGTTTTGTAGGGATTTATTGATTTCAGATTGGTATTCCTGGGTTAAGTCCCTGGGGGAGTTGTAAGTGTGCACTTCTGAGGAATCCCATTCTAAGATGAGACATCTGTCCAGTACTCCCAGGTTTCCAGTGTCCCTCCAACTATATAGCTTTTAGTGGGAATACTGTCAGATGTTAGTTAGTCGGAGAGAATAGCCAAGAAGTCCTGCTCAATCTAAGTTTCATGCGTGTTGGCAACGGTTAACAAAGCGTTTCTACAACGTTGAGGAGCTGAATTCCCCTGTGAGATTCAAACTGATTTTAGACTGGCTTAGATACATTGAACTGGTCAGGTGAGAGTATCCAATTTAATGTTGTATTGTCTAGAATCCTAGGATTGATGACGAGAGCTAACAAGCTAAACAAGCTCTTCAGCTAAAGAGGGACACGACATCCAATTAAATCATTCTTTTACCTGTCAAATTGACATTCTTTATTGAATCAACAAGATTAAATGTGTTACGGAGACTCTGGTTCAATAGCCTCTTCTTTACAGGTTCCAGTATTTCCACAAATCGTTTCGCGATTAAATAATATGGAGAATTGATCATATCTAGTATTGGATGGAGTGGAATGCCTTCTTTGTGTATCTTGAGAAGGCCGTATGAACAAGAAATCGTAGAACCTGATGGGCGAAGTTCATCATATAGCTCTCTAATTTTCAACTCTAATTTTCTTGAATATTTTCAACAATTGAAACTCTGTTTGCTCAGTAGGATCTTCCTGTGTTGTCTAACGCAATGAGCCAAATCATTTTGTGTATACCAGTTTACTTTCTCTTGTAGAGTTAAATACATAGGATAAACCATCCATCCGCTTATAAAGCGTGCTCACAAACACTATCCAGCCTGATTGGCAAAGGGATAAAGGAAATGTATTCTCAGTTCAATAACAGAACATCTCGTGAATTCAGACTATTTATCTCCTTTTGAGAGCTCATCAAAAGTCCTCTACAGGGTTCGATCAAATCACTCGAAGAGAGTAAGATCAAGGCATTTGTTAATAGCTGAAGCACTAGCTATCCAAAAGTTATGTATCAAACCAGTGTTATGTGTTCCAAAAGTGGTACGTCCAACCTTCATCTTTGTCATGACTATCATATAGTCTTCAGTGTCATAGATTTATCATCCTGTACTAGGTAACTATACACGTATTTTCATAATCCCTTGTTTATTTTCCCACTGTATACCTGAATGTGTATTAATTAACTTCATTTGATAAGTCAGTATATTTTACTCTGTAACCAGGAATAATTCTGGGATATTCTGTCCACCGTAATATATATTCACAACTGTACAGCTTAGTGAATGACTTCGTTGAAAAGAAAGAAATTTTTCTTCACAACAACCACACCTTCTCTTTTCCTATCATTATTGTGAACTCTCGGAATGGGATGGTTTTCGAATAGTTTCCAGGTGATATAAAATTATGATGAATGCTGGAAATTTAGTTGAATCTCTCTAAAAACTATCTGAAATGAATAACTTTTTTGAAATGGGCATTATTGTGGGAAAATATTATCAAATAACCTACCTACTATTATTTATTATTATTATTTGTCTCATGGATTACTACTCGAACATAGGTCTTCAGTAACACGTCTCCATTGCACTCTCTTCTCGGAAGTCTCCTTAGCCAGACACCATCACTACTCACACCTTTCCATTTCTTCTACACACCATCTCTACCATGTCACCCTCAGACGCCCAACTTCTCGTTTCCAATTTAGATTTTTTTCTCGAGGGCCAGCCCTGCGCGTGATGTCCCCAAACCGTCTTCTCAGTGTATGCCAAATCCATCTCCACTTCGTTCTTCTGCATATTTATTTGTGCGATATCTTCTTGGTTGGTTCTTTGTCAAGTCAGAGTTCCTTGTTGCTTATTCTTTCTTACCATCTGATTTTCAGCATCAAGCGTAGGCAGCTGTTGATGAATGTCTGTGGTTTGTTGGAAATACTTTCCGTGACACTCTGAGTCTCTCAAGCATAACATGGAAGCACTGACTGACTTGATTGAATATGTGTTGAAAATTCGGATCTTGTTCACGCTTTATGCTGAGTGCAGTGGAATAGATCTCCACACTGATTTCAGGTTAATTCAGGAAGGCTTGTCTTGCTATCTTTCCGACGGTGGCTGCTTTGATATCCCAATCTGTGCCCCTGCCTGTGGTTGAGACGATGCTGTCTAGGTAAGCAGGTATGTAGGTGAAAGAGACAACTTGCTTTCGATTTCTCTCGTTTATCGTGACAGGGGCTTGCTGTTGTTGTTGGTTGGTTGATTGGTTATCTTCATCACCTTTGTCTTCTATACTTTGACCCGAAGAAAGTCTCATCTTCACTTCCCTGCCTTTTTGGCCAACTTATTAGTTTTTGTCTGTACATATTCGAGTTTGTGCTACATAATACATTAAACATAAATCATCATCATTGGCGAAATGCAAATCTTCTTTTGGTGTCATTTCATTGGTCAAACAGGTTATGCCGATCTTCTCAGAGCTCCTCACAGTTTCTTGCATGGCTGTCCAGTGGAGTGGAGTCGAGTGGAGTCGAGTTGACCACAGTCAAGAAGATGATGGGTGATAGTAGGCGGCAACACTGTCTTACCTGTCAACCTGTCTTCACCTCAAAGGCATCACTGAGCTTTCCATTGTGAATCACTTGGCATGTAGCTTCATCATACAGCATAACATATAGCTGGTGTTGAATGAGGTTGATAAGTGTTTTCTGCAGTCAAAGCGTAGTGTAGAAGCAACTGCCTGTCAAATTACTTCCCGATCGACGCTGTTGAAGGCCTTTTGGAGATCGATGAAGTTGAGGTTGAGTTGGGTTGACGGACATTCTATGTTCTGTTGGATGATGATGCATAGCGTAGCGTTGGAATTTTATCTCCACATGAATTGTTCTTCTTGAAGCCAGCCATCCTGTTTCGGTGGCAATTTTGAATCCTGCACATTTTTGAGTCTCTCCAGGATGGTGGGACTTGATATTTTGCTTTGTGTGGACAGGAGTGGAGCATGATTCCGCGCCAGATCTACTATTATAATGTGTTCTAATTTTACTCTGTAATAGTGAGCTTCATAAGAAGTTAAATTACTATTGAGTCAGTTACTCGAGTGGTTTGCATGAATCACATACAGACTGAAGTTCGATCTATAACTTTCTAGATACTAAGTAGGTTGTTTCAGAATAAGATTAGTTTATTCATTTATTCGCGAAAGTAAACGACTAGAGTGAGGTAGAATGAAAGAACGAAATAGAGATAGAGAGATAGCTAATTTAACAGAATTCTCTTTAGGTTTTTTTGATCACGAACTGAAATGAGTCAAAGAACCACTGGAAAGCTTTTCGTCCCAGTATCGTACTCTTCAGTATTGTGCAACTATCATCTTGCCAGTGATTGGGCCCAGGATCTTCAGGTTCTGTGGTCAGCATGTTACACTTACGCCACTAAGTCACAATCCAATGACTCACATTTTCCTTTTTTTTTAATTCGTGACATAGCATGACTTTCATCATATGCTATCACTATGTTCAACTTGATTTGCCTCACTGGTCACAACTTCTGATAAGACCTACAGGAGATCTGATCTTAGTTTTTAATTTGTCACAGACTGCTATCATTTAGAGAAAAATTGAGAATTTGGAACCCTGTATAACTGTTTCGTTCTAGTATAGGACTCCTCAGAAGTGTAACAAATGACAGGTACTCAGTCATGGCATTTAAATGAACGTCAAACTCTATCGCGAATTGACAGAAGTTGAAAAATGATGACCATTGAGCTCCAACCCAGTGGTTGAATATTTAACACGTTCGGCATGGAATCCTAAGGTCCTCAGTTCAATTCTTGGTGAGGTTATGAATGGATAAAGCTGAGGAATCTAGTACTGGGAAGAAACATATGTTCAGTTCTCCCATGTTTTTAATGACTTTAAAACTAATATCAGTCAGTAATGAGTATCAACTTGAAGTCAAACTACAAATTGAATTACTTTTCTTGCTTTTACATATTTATGATACTGATAAAGAAGAACAGAAGTATAAGGGTCTTTATATGATACCGTCGTTGATTGGACCGGATTGATCGGTCTCTATCGACAAATGGACTCCTTTGCGGATGCCTCTATATTGCCAGCAATCCAATTATGCTAAGGATGAATCGTGGCTAGCAGTGGAATCCAGGATGCACATTCTGTCCTATTTGGGACTCACTAGTCAGCTGGATGTACCTACTTCCCAGTGAGTGATGTCGTTCCCTCCGGGACTCGGACTCGGGGGCTACCACTTCAAACACCAGCGCGTTATCCATTACACCACCGAACCACAATAGCCACTTCTTATGCGACGAGTATAGTTTTTTAGTATAAGGGTTTGTATATGATACCGTCAATGTAATTGAAAGTTACACAGGAAATTAAAACAAAAAGATGTGAATATGATGATGAATTCAACAAGAGTCATTGAACATTGAACAATTTAAATAGTATTACCTGTTGTCATATTGTATGTGATATTATTTGATGGTAATTTTATTTCAATTGACTCTTCAGATTTCTTAAAATATTCACTAATTTTAGTAATAACCTTATTCATTATTGATACCCAATCAATAGATGTTTCTTCATATGATGACTGTATTAATTCATTATAAATTTTATCAGATAAACTAATCCTTTGACACCAACCATCCATATATGGATCAAGATGGAATAATTGATTAGCGGAGAGACTATTCAGTAATGCTTGTCGTTTAGCACAAGAAACCTATATACAAAGTAAGATGAAAAGAAATAAACATAGTCATAATAAAATAATATGAATTAAGTTCTTCAGGTGTAGGAGATATTACTAGTAGAGATTACATAATTGTAGAGTGTTGGCTTATTAGTTAACTCACTCAACTTCTAACCGACTGAAATAGATTCGACATGTATTGTGTATGCTGAACCACTGCCTCCCTATACATGATATTGTTATATTATATTATTAATCCCTTGGGTTCCTAGTGAAACATACGGCTTCAGTAGCACGTCTCCAGTGAACTCTGTTCTCTGAGATCTTTTGAACCTGGTTCCACGACAGCCCATAACCTCTCATTTCCTCCTCACACGATCTCCTCCATGTCACCCTCACCTCAGACGCCCAACTGGTCGCTTCCCATGGGGATTCCACTCGAGCAACTGGCCTGACGTGTGATGTCCCCAATCGGCCTTCTCAGTGTATGCCCAATCCATCTCCACTTCCTCCTGCATATTTATTGCGTGATAGGTTCTTGGTTGTTTCGTTCCCAGAGTGAGTTCCTTGTTGCTTATTCTTTTTGGCCATCTGATCTTCAGTATCGAGCCAGCGTAAGCAGTTGTTGATGAATGTCTGTAGTTTATTGGAAATCCTTTTCGTGACGCGCCAAGTCTCTGAACCATACAGAAGCACTGACTTGACGTTGGTGTTGAAAATCCGGATCATGTTCACACTTTATGCTGAGTGCAGAAGATCTCCACACTGGTTTCAGGTTAATGAATACCTGTCTTGCTTTTCCCATTCTGACTTTGACATCCTCGTCTGTGCCTGTGTCGCTTGTAGTTGAAACAGTGCTTCCTAGATAGGTGAAGGAGGTTACTTCCTTTAAGTTTCTCCCACAAAATTAAAATTAGGAAAATTCAACACCGAAGCACTTCCAAACGACTCTTTAGAAATCTAATGAGACCGAAAAAACTTGAAAATATATCAGTCATAGCTGTACAGACCATAATTTCAAATCACTAGGTCAACTCATTGACAGTATGAGAATTATTCAGAAAGGCAATAGAAATAATAAAGAACGTCTCTTAACAGAATCTCTTCACATATACAAAGTGGAATTAAAATTGTTTAAAAAGTAATGATCTGGCCGGAACCCATCCCCACATGCTGACATAACCAATATTCATGTGATAAGAGCTAACCCAACACATGTGTGTGTATACAAACCTCAGTCTGTAAGTCAAACAATCTTCACATACAATACACTACATATGGATATCTATTCTACAATTTGTTAGTTGGTTGGAGGCAATCGACAGGAAGACCTGAACCTAGGTTTCCTGTTTTTCTGCACTTGTCAGCAAGGCGTATCTGCAACGGAACTGATGTCCCGTCTAAGACTCGAACCCGCGTCACTCAGTGTTGAAGTCAGTAATTTAAACATTGAGCTGTTTGGGCTGCGACTGACCTCCTGTAGAACTGGCTTACACATGTATTGAGTGGTCACGGGATTGCAACCAATTTCATGTTTTCTAGTCTTGAGTGCAGACCGAATCCTATCGATCATATTTGCAATGTGGCAATCAAGCTAGGAAGCTCAGCATCCTGGTGCACGTTAGTAGATGTTAGTTGGTTGGAGGCAACCGGCAGTGGAGAATCATGCATGAAGAGGAACGCTAGCCACTTTATCATATATAAGAGATATGGTAAATTCCGGTTTAATATAACTGTGATGAAGCTATTAGCAGCATTAAGTACAGCGAAACGTCAGTTAAGATAAACTTGGGGTTGGCATTCATCGGTTTTTATTTACACTTTTATTTCGATTTATAAGTGATATGCATTTGCTATGAACATTACACTCACTTCTGATTGTACTATTTATGTACCAGAATATCGTAGCACCGCAACTGGAATTTGTAATTCATATCATAACAAAAGATGGATAGTGACTAGGAGTGGAATACACGATGGGCATTTTGTCCTATTTGAGACTCGTCAGCTGGGCCAGTCCAATCAACGACTGCATAATACAAACAATAACGCTAAATCTATTCCCGTCGTACAAGAAGTGGCTATCGTGGCTCGGTGGTGCAGTGAATAACGCTCTCGCGTTTCAAGCGATCGCTTCCAAGTCTGAATCCCGGTAGGAACAATATCACTTACTGGAAAGTAGATACATCCCACTGACGATTCCCAAATAGGATAGTATGTGCATCCTTGATTCCACTGCTAACCCTTATCCATCTTTACTATAATTAGAACACAGGTAATATGGAGGCATCCACACAGGAGCCCATATGCCAACAGAGACCGATCAATTCGGTCCAAGTAACGACGGTATAATACAAGCAATAACACTCATATTATAACTAGTTTTAGAATGATTAGACCTAATCAGAAAATGAAAAATTGTTAATTGTGGCTTGTTTATTTATACAATTAAGCAATTTCAGACAGCATAAAACAGTTCAGTTGAGTGCAGTGACATAATATTATCGAACACTTGTATATACGGTAAATCAGTCATGGTAGCATTTAATAGGATAGGTAATAAGATTACAATATCTCAATCATGGTAGTATTGAACATAGATAACCATACTTGTAGTTTAGTTGGTAGGTCATCGGGTCGGAAACCCGGTAGTTGCTAGTTCGAATCCAGCCGCAGTCCAAAATTCTTATTTCGCTTTCGACCATCACCCAGTATAAATACTAGTCTGCCAAACCATTGCCGCTGTCTCAGATAGTCAGAATAGTGATCAATAGAAATGTGATGATACAAGTATACAAGTACTCATGGTCAATAAAATTTGACCTACAGACAAAATGACTCTGTCAAGCCTACTAAACAAGCCTGCATTTAGTCGCCACATTAATGAATTCTTTTCTGAAAAATTAAAAGTGTTTTAAACCTTCTAATGAACCTTGCCTGGTTAACTAGTTCACTAGTTACTAGCCCGTTCTAAGCCCGTGTAAAAAGGGGAGGTTGGGCGTAGGGTTAGCAATCCTATCCCGTAAAACCAATCGAGTCGCTAAAGAAACTTCAAAACATAAAGAAAATATAAAAAATGAAAACAAACTTATTCCTCGCTGGAATCGGAGAGGCGAAAGGACACCGGTTGGTGAAAGCCTTAGGGAACCCAGTGGGCCGATGTGTCTCCTCTCGGTAGCTGCTGATTGAAAGAAAGGTTATTTTTTCAAACTCCAGAAGAAGGGAGACCTCAGTGTTTGCAAGAACTGGTGCGGAATCACACTGCTGTCCACCTTAAGCAAAATATTATGTCACATCATCCTGGAGAGACTAAAGGATGTGCTGGACTCAAAACTACGACCGAAACAGGCTGGCTTGCTTCAGGAAAAACAAATCGTCTGCAAATCAAATCACAAAGCTACGCATCAGCGTAGAACAGAGTATAGAATGGCAGTCAACTCTCTACCTCAACTTCATCGACTTTCAAAAGGCCTTCGATCGAGGCATCGACCGACCAGTAATTTGGCAGTTGCTTCAACACTACGAAGTGCCACAAATCTTTATCAACCTCATTCAACAGTTATATGAAAAGGCTATATGTCAGGTGATCCACAATGGAAAGCTCAGCGACGCCTATGAAGTGAAGACACGAGTAAGACAAGGCTGCCACCAACTATCACCGATGATCTTCCCGATTGTGGTGGAGTGGACTGAACTCGATCATGCAGCAAACAGTGAGGAGCGAGAAGAGGGGCATACGCTGAACTGATAAAAAGAGCCTCGAAGATTTGGATTTCACTGACGATTTATGCTTAACGTCACACAAACTCGAAGATCTACAGGCGAAAACCAACAAGTTGACAGAAGAGGCAGGACAGCGAAAACGGGACTTCAAGTGGATGTAGAGAAGACGGAGGTGGAGGTGGTGAAGATACTCAACCAACAACAGTATCAACAACAAGCACCAATCATCATTAACGGGCGAAACCTACGTAGGCAGCATCTTTTCAACTAGAGGCGGCACAGACGAGGATATTAAAACCAGGATCGCAAAGACAGCAAGACAGGCCTTCATTAATCTGAAATCAGTGTGGAGATCTACTGCACTCGGCATAAATAACAAGATCCAGATTTTCAACACTAATATTAGTCAAGTCATTGCTTCTATATGGTTCTGAAAGTAGGCGTGTCAAGAAAAGTATTTCCAGCAAACTGCAGACATTCATCAACGGCTGCCTACGCTTGATGCTGAAGATCAGATGGTCAGAAAAAATAAGCAAGGAGGAACTCTGACCTAACAACAAATCAACCAAGAGGATATCGCACAAACAAATATGCAGGAGAACGAAGTGGAGATGGATTTGGCATACACTGAGAGGATCGATTGGGGACATCACGCACCAGGTCAGGTCCTCGAGTGGAACCCAAACGAGAAACGACGAGTTGGACGTCCAAGAGTGACATGGAGTAGATCATGTGGGGAGGAAATGAAAGCTTGTGGGTAGTGGTGGAGCCAGGTTTGGAAGACTGCAGAGAACAGAGTGCAATGGAGGCGTGCTACTGAATCCCTATATTCAACTAGGATCTCAAGGGAAAAACAATAATAGTAATAATAGTAAACCTCCTAATGAGTAATGTTTTGACAAACTTTAAAAAATGTTCACATTAAGCGCTTAAATGATGTTTATACAGCCAATTCATGACCTCTTTCAATAATCCATTCATTAACTGAGGAACTCAGACGTTAGTTTCTAGCATTAATGGTGTAAGACGACTGTGTTTGTTGTTTTCAGACATAAATTGCCATTTCTGAATTTGAAATGATCTAGAACAAAATTCTGATTAAATAGAGATGGATCCAATTAATTTCGGTGGGATCTTGTCAATTTAAAATGTCGAAATATGAAGTTTTACTAAAAATATTTCACATAATTTAATTCACCTAAAGACAAACGAAATATTGGATAGTGATTTAGGTGGATAGAAATAGTTATAGCCTGGAGTCAAGTCATATCAGAAAATCCATAGAAGGTTAATCATTAATAGCAGACTATCCCAATTACACGTTTAATAGAACTGAACTTTCTCAAAGAAAACCTGATACGGGTAATAACCAAAGGATTTAGGGAATTATTCGTACGTAGTTACGCAATATAGGGTTGTGTAAGTCACAAAAAACAAAGCAGAATATTGTAAATTATTCTTAGTTGATTGAAAATATTCTATGCAAACCAATTTATTCTGAAAACAAACATTCAAGCTTTCTAGTCTGCTTGATAGTGGCTAACTTTGGAATGCAGGACATGTGTATCATCCTATTTGGCACTTATTAGACAAATATACCTACATCCCAGTGAGTGGTTATATTCCCACTGAGACTCATAGTAAGTATCCATCACTTCAGACGCCAAGACATTATCCACTATACCAGTATCATTGGTAGCCGTATCACTCACTGGGATTAAAGTATATTCAACTGACGAGCCCCGAAATCGGAAGAAATGCGCATACTGAATTAAACTGCTAAAGACACTGTTAAAACAGGGGATAAAATAAATGTATGTACATCATTCAAGTCAAGGCATAAAACATGTAAAGGATGTATTTTAACAGTTTGTGAAGGCATTTTAATACACCATGGTCATTTCTATGCTAATCGACTTAAAATAATTAGTCTCATTATCAACCGGGTAAGACAGTGGTGGTTATTCATATTGTTGTTACTAAGTGATGGTTGAAAATGAAATAAAAGTCTAGACCATGTCAGGATTCGCGTAAGTGACCTCCAGTCATCACCACAGTATCAGCACACGTTTGTCAAACCATGGCTATATGAGGCAGTCAAGCTGATAATTATTCACATCACATACAAACTTTGAAGAACCTTTATCTCTCTAACAAATAACTATAGGTACCTTACTTTGATGCTTAATACTGAGATAGTATTTCAGCTGACAGAGTCTTTGATAAGACTAAACATTTGTCACCAGATGTTATAATATTATTACTTCAGTATTCATTAACACAAACAGCTTAACAACCAGTGTTTCACTATCAAACTAGAGAGAGCTTTTAAAGTAAACTACACAGAAAGTGAGAATGATGAATGTTTGCCAAGGTAACTAACTTCATTCCATGATAATCATGAAAATGATTGCTTATTTTCAGTAGACAATCACCTATAGGGTAATAAACCAAAGACGTTTTACCTTCTGAATGTTGATCTATTGTTCACTATCTCCTGTTCTAGTTGCTAGGTAGACTGAAACTATCTTTTGAAGTTAAAGGGGAAGGTAAAGACTGTAGAAGAATTTAGTTCTACGTGTTATGTCTGCCAATCACCTACTGACCTGAGTTTCATGCTTCCTAAGACTCTATAACCTCTTTTGAATTTCCTGTCTTTTATTAGTCTAAAGGACGCTTTTGAAATTCTACACGCATTTAAAAGAATAGTGCTTGTTCAGATCTTGTTCACGAAGCAGGTCAGTCTTCTTATTGTGGTGGTGTCCTCAATTTATTCCTAGTTAATTCGTTATTCTGTTGACAAAGTTTATTGCATACTGTCTGCATGGCTTAAATGTGGTTTTCTAGCTTTCTTTTAAAAGCAGTGGAAAAGTTTACATGTCTGTTTGTTATGACTTCTAGAATTTTGTAGCTTATTAGGTTAGTTACTTTGAGATAGTCGTAAAGTTGTTCATTCCTGGGCAGATTTTCTTTACACATAACTATTTTTTAGATTTTCTCAATTGAGATTTACGAAAGTGGAGCGTCATCCTTATGAAGTTTATGTCTTTTGTGTGAATCAAGTTGAACGATGATGTAATGCACAAATTATCTCAACTGTATAGATTTTCAACATATCCGTCCTTGTTATTTACCCTCACGTGGTGCTTGAACCGAGAAGTTCAGAAGTGATTATCCGTCACTGTTCTGTTCCTACTTGATGAATGCAATAGTAATTGTTATTCAATCTTACGTAGCAGCCTCTTGAGCCTTCTGTCTGTCTTACTCCTATATATTTTGCTTGAAACGTTACCTGTTTATGGTAAGTTGTACTTTTAGCAAGGGTTTTAGTAGACAAACTTTACGAAGTCACGTAGACATCGTCATCAGTGCGTCAGAGCTTCACAAGGAAGTTTGGTAATGAAGCGGTCACTATCCGAAGCCTTAACACACAGAACAACTTATTCGGAGCACCCACACCCTGAGCTACAAACATTTGCCGTCAAGGTTTCCTGTGCTTATATATTAGAAAGTCATTCTCATATCGTAGAGTAAGTAAGCCACTAGATAACTGCATAACATTATATGCCCTATGGCAAACCAGAAATGAGGTGCAAAATTCATATTTGTAACGGATGCGCTACAATGTATTGTACTTCACTGACAAAACCATAGGACAAAACAAGCAGTGTAAACATGCACTCCCGGATTTAAAAAAGATTTTTACTTTGTAGTGCGAAAATGTTTCCTTTTCTAGTATTTTATAGACGATAATAAATCTTGGAATATTCCAGCATCTGTTCCTAGCAAACCCATATCTGCGTACTCAGTCGGCTACTTGACCTCAGCATGAGATCTGACATTGCTGAGTCATGACCAAAGTTGCTATACATTCCGTACATTAGGATAAAAGTTACCAGCACGAAATATTAGAATAGTATGATCGAAATTTACAAAACATTGTAAAAAGGAAGGTAAATGAGTTGTTACAAGCAACCATATGTGAAATAAAAGTAAATATGAAAGCAAGGCTCACGTGTATGTGTGACAGTTAAATTGGTTCTGAAATACCTTATTTGGAGGCTCTGTGCTTCGAAGTTGATTGCCTCTTGCCATTTAGAGAAGTAGTTTATACCTCTCTATACGGCTAGAAGCACCTGACAGAAACTTTATTGACCGCCATCCCGCTCAAGTACGGCCACCGTTAGTCTCCATGCAACTAAACTAGCTTAAGCTAGCGTCAAACGGGAGATAAGTCGTGGATTACCATGTGCAATGTGTCTCACTCCTCTGATTTGACGAGGGTTTACAAACTTACCAACAAATTCGCTACCATCCTTTGAAATTTTACGCCTAACCTCTACGTTTATCTTATTGTGGTTGTATGATGTTATAGTGATGTCCAGAAGGCTTCCTGAGCAACTAAAGTGGTTGATAATCTTAATCGCCTAACCTCTATTTATCAAACCATGCATTAATTTGTGTCAGGACTGCAGCAGCATCGTGCATTTTGAAAGTGAGAAAATGAACTGCATTATGCTTCTTCCTGATCAGCAGTTCAACCAATTAGGAGTTCACTACTCACGATCTCTGAATGAACTTCAAAATCTTTAACTAAGAGATTGGTCTCTATAAAGTGAGTAAAATAAAAGTGGAAAAACTAACTAAACCTCTTGAACAGCGCAAAACGTGAACAACTCACTCACATGTTCACCACAGTTAATGAGACGAACACAAGTTTTATAGGCGGCTCAAAATACTATCAACCCTATGTTTAAGCAAACGTAAGTCTGTTCTCACTTTGGTCGAAGTGTAGCTTCAGCATAATACAAAAACTTAGGACTGCTTTTGCATTCTAAATCCTGGCTTTCAGATTTGATCAAACCTTAGTTGAATAACAGTTTACGTAAATGCAAGATTAAGCACCACCTGAGATGCAGCAGTAAAAACGTTTGCGATGCCTTCCAGAAACGCAAGTTCAATGATACTGATCAAGCATGTGAACAGTTTTATTTTTATAGCATAATAGGCATAGTCAGAGGCATATTTTTATGTGTAAAATACATTGGATGAAAATGAAAATACGTGGGTAAGTACACGAATTGTTTCAGTCATTAGGAGTATACAGTGAAGTTTAGAGTCTTTTTCCAACCAAATTGTAATGAAAGCCCCAACAACCTGAGAAATGTATTTCGTTCGTGGAAAGTAATTTGGCATATGCTAGTAAGTTCAGAATATTAGCCACAAACTTGGCAGATTCTGCTAGATTTAGGAATAAATACTCACCAAAGGCCTTTGCGAAGCAGCTGACCACATCCGTGGAGAGTCCCAAAATGTTTTCATTTTTAAGGGTAGTATTTCCTTGAAATAATATGTTGGAAATACTAGTCAACTTACTTCGAGGAAAGCAAACTCAAATCGAATTGAACTGTTAGTTGATAAGAAGCAAAATTTCGCAAAGTAATCTGATTCCTGAAAATTGAAAAGATGAGGTAGGTAATGTAATTACATTTTCTAAGCCAACTATTCCTGTATATATTTCAGACTTGTAGTGGTTTAGGAAAGTAAATAATAGCACGAGGTTTTTTACTGGTTCATAAAGGATCATTCTTTAGCTTTGTGCAGATTCTTGGCTTATGGGCTTGGAAACATGAACTAGATAGAAATCTCTATGAATATGCGAAGCGGTGAAGTTTACGACAATAGATGTAAGAGCTGGAAAGTGAATATCAGTCAAAAAGTCAGTGTTTCAAAAGTTGTTAAATAAACGCACCTAATACATGATAAAATCTAGAACTTCTTGAATTTAAAGATCTAATTTCCTGGACAAGAAAATAAAACGCTACTAATAAATCCAACAGCTGCTAATTTAAAAATGACGGCGGAAACAAATATGTTTGTCGTACCACGCGCCATGCTTCAATCTTTAACACCAATATTAGAAGTGTGAGTTTAAGAAACTAGTAGATCTTAACTGTCGTTTCTAGGACCTTAAAGTCAGTTCATTTCATTCGGTCAGTCCTCTTCGTTGGCCATAGAATCTTGCCGATGGCATTGGAGGCAATGACAGTCTATCTGAAGACTTTTCTTTTTGCAATAAATATTTTCAGTTTCACCGAAGCCAGATAAGGTGCGTTTAAGCTTATGTATATATTAGAGAAGGGCATTGATCGCATTGCATATACCAGGATTAGGTGTAACAGGGACGGATGAGGATACCATCATTTTCCTCTGGTGACTGTTGGTGGTAAGCCGTTTTCACTCACCTTATTGACCATTCGTTTGAAGGCATCACTTGATGTAGTAGTTGCTACTTCTTTCAGTAGGACGTTCGATAGTAGGCACATTTAGTGTGAGCACGCCACATCTGGCTCTTGTCTATCCCTACTAGTGGCATATGTGGGCAGGGTTCCAATGAGACTTTTGGTTTTAGACAGATAATGTCGTCCTAATAGTTTATTCTACTTCATGGATGATCTTGAAGGTTTTCACTTGCCGCCTGTTATCCTTCAACAGCTTGAAGTGAATAAGCTTAGCTTTCTAAGCCGTTGCCGCTGTACTCTGCAGCTTCTAGAGTCTTTGAGTTTCTCTTTAGTACAGGAGGGGTTATCCTTTTGAAAAACCCTAAGTGTGATCTAACAAAAGTTTTAAGTACCAAAGAAACAGTCCAGGGGTCTCAGCTGACTCCTTAGGAAGGATATGGTAGTGTGCACTTTTGCTGTCATTCCGTAATGGTTAACACTAGTACCCAGAGTGTCAGAAAAGTTTAGCCCTACATCCTTCTACGTGTATACCCGGTGATCGCATAGTTATCGGGGTTGTAGCTAGCTTTCGTCACTCTTGATGTGCGCAGACATATTGCTTTCCACCTCACTGGATGGAAGCCCAGTGTATTATGAGCTTTTCAGGACTCTGACTGCAGCAGATCGGCCTGAAGTATCCTAAGATGCCCTTTCCTTTCTGCCGTCTCCCACATTTTGATGTCATCGGCTAAGAGGATGGACGAGAAGGCTTGGCCGAAGGGTTAGGGGGAGAAAGTAATCCAAGAATAGCAAAAAAACTGGAAGTGGTCCAGGGAGCCTTCGCTTGGAAACTCCTGTTTTTGTATCCTCCCAGGCTGAATGAATTCAGTTTACCTTAAAGACGAATTTTGCATCCTTATCGTACGGTGTATAGCATGCTATGAATAGTTCCGAGAGGCCCATTTTCATAATTTTAGCAAGCTTGAGGGCTATGGCGCGCTTTTGAAGGCCATATCTTCGTCCTAGGCGGAAACTGAAACTCACTGGTTATCGTTCCACCTACCTCTGTAGTCATCTCATGCGGTCATCGAGTTTTGTGAGTCATAGCCACTAAGTTCTGAAGCCGTATTTTGTGGGATGTACAGTGTGGTCTCCATCCACATAGTTACAAACGACATCTGCAACCTGGCTGTCAGTACCTTGGGGAGAACAGGAAGTAAAACCTCCAGTTGGCAGTTGTGCAGGTTTTTTCTCTTTCACTGAAAGGGGTGAAAAGATTTCTTGCTCTCATTCTTTTGGGTATTGACTTACTGTACACCATTGCGTAAACAGACTGCATTCGGGCATGCTTAGCACTTCGGTGCATTTCCACAGAGCCACCGGTGTCCTGCTGTCACAGCCTAGAGATTTTCTTATTCTGGGAGTAGATATATTCGCAAACACTGATTGACAACATCTTTTCGTCTATCGGCTCTGTACCAAAGTCCTGGCACTCTACTACCTTAATGGACGTTGGCGACAGACAGAATACTGTGTTGATACGTCCGTCAAATTGGTTGCTTAGCAGTTTGGCTTTCTCAGTACAACTGAAGACTTTTCTGCTAGACCATATGATAAGGTCTTGACCATCATCGACAAACTGCTTTGTGGCCTAAAATGGTGTAGGCTTTTCGAGTTGCACCTAGACCGTTTAACCAAGTTGCTGAATTATGTGAACCTACAGTCGCGAAGGCTCCTTTTATCTGTTTTCATAACCTGGCGTAGTCAGTAGACGCCGATTCCCGATGCGGTGTACGCCGCAAACGCCACTCTCTCTTTTCCCCTGTGTTTAACTTTGGGTTGCCCTGGCCACCCAGTAGAGTTTGGGACGACGTCGTCTACTCACTTTCAGGACCTCCTTCTAGATAGCGCCCTGGACAGTGTCTGTTATATATATATATATATATATATATATATATATATATATATATATATATATATATATATAGCGTCCGTAATCGATAGGGACTGCAATTCTTGTGGTCATGGACTTTTCAAGAAATTCTCCTTCGTGAGCCAGTGGTTTACATTCGGATAACGCCGGAGCGCTTCTTGTTGGCATATTAGCAGTTTCCCCCGGCTATCAGGGAACATTTCACCAAAGTGTGTTCGCTTTTGCCTAGAGGAGGCTGGATACAGATATCGCCCACTAAATGATCGTCGTCTGTTAGAATGCGATGAAGTCACGAACTTCTTCCATCTCGGGCCTGCCTGGTGATCTCAACTTGCTCTATCAGTTCTGGTGCCACAAAGGAATCTAGAGGTCTCTCCTTGAAAGATTTATGTCTACAGCTTCATCTCAACCCGGGGTTAAGGGCAAGCTTGTTGAAGAAATTAGCGAAGAATAGGCGGTCATAAGCTGCCTAAGTAAATTCCAAGGTAGCAGTGAATACCTGTTCCCTGTACCCTACCGTGCATAGCGAGGGCCTGAAGCATTTGCGTGGTCCATGATGAAGTAGCACCTTAAAAAGTCAGTCATTTGGTTTGATATATTGTCGGTCTCCTCTTTGACTTCTTGTTGTATGTTCGTGCAGACAGCCACTCCTCCTCTATCTTTGATCAGTTTCTCTCTCTCCGGCATAGGGTGATGCAAGGCATACACATTTCCAGGAGTAAGAAGTTCGATGCAATCCTTGACACCTCAAAATGTAAAATATCTGCCTCAGGATGACGGGACGATGTTCTCAGCTTCAGTTGCTTAGTTCTAAGAATTTTCGTCATGGGATTAGTACATCACGGTAACTTGTGATGAGGTCATCTTAGTGTTGCTTTGGATGCTCGTTACCGGCCCTTACTGGACTTACAGGCATCCATTTTTATTCTTCTAAGCATGCTGGCGCTGGCGCGATAGAAAAGTCTATCGTGGCTTCTGCAGAGACTAGTTCACCAGATAATTATCTCGCGAATGCGGAGGCCTGCAGTGCTCTGAGAAATCTTCTTCAGTCTTTGTCAGCAGATCTAAGTTTGCTTCTCGATCATCGTCTGTCACCTCGTACTCGATCATTCAGGCTGTAGCACGCTGGGAGGGTCTGCATATGAGATGTTGCAGACCAGTAGTTTACATCCAGCAGCCTGGGTGTGGAAATGCCCTGCAGGTGGGTAGGTCTTGTCAGTCTGCACGCTTCGCAGGTAGGTAAGCTTCCTAGTCTCACTTTTGTCGTTGGACATCTCCACTGCTCCAAATCATATAAGTGGTAACCAGAGTTTATGGGTCCCCTTACCATTTCGAGTATCCCATGTACCACCATGGTTGTGGCCTTGTGTAGATCACCGAGAGTGGACTACCATTCCCGCCTCTCTGTTGAGCTGTGGCTCACATGGTTTCGCTCTTATGGTGCAGGATCCCATAATGTCTGGTCAGCGCAAGGGTAAACGCATGTCCCAGATCGTTTCACTGCTATCACAGGCACTTCTATTGGGAGTGGATCGTCTCGACGCACTCTACTTCTTCGTGCCAGACAGCGTAAACTTCAGTGAGTTTTATTCCTAGCTGATGATGGCAATCACTCCATTTTTCTTTTTTTACAATTGCCCCCTTCCTAAGCGTGGGTCTATCTGTATGGGAGCACTAGTAAAGATAGCCCAGTCCATTCCCTTGTCCCATACGTGCAGGGTATCCGCTTCGGTGGCCATTGCTCTTGGCCCGCCGTTTTTCTTGATCTTTTCAGCCCAGTTGTCCTCGAAACAATTCAGTTCTTCAGCACCCTCCATCCGTTCGGTTCATATGGGTTGCTCCGAAACTAGGAGGTGACGACCGTGTATGAGTTTTGCATGCAGAAGAAGCCAGTCGTTTCCTGTGCCAAGGAGTAACGTTTTTCTGCGACTGTGGCCTGGGTATCCAAAGAGCTTGATTAGCCCCTGAGGATGGATGTTGGGAGTTCATATCTCTCGATGTCTTAGGCTGTTTGTGCTCTACGACTGCCTGTGGTTGAAGCAGGTGCTTTCCGACATTCCTTACGTACATAACACTTCTACTTACGTGGGTGCCCGGCATGAATTCGTAATGCCGACGTGGTACACCCTTATCATGGTCCCACTGCATCTATTCTACCCAGTTTGCGCGCAAAAGCCGCGTATGCCTTTGATGCACGCCTTCCAATCACTGCAGTCATCATAAACTTGCTCCTGGTTCGTGACCACTTTTGGGGAACCGTGGTCAGCTATCATAAGTGCCAGCACAGCTTTCGGCAAATGATATATATGGCACGACAACTGTGCAGAGATCCTGTGGGTTGAGGGGACTGTTGGAGATATCTTATATCCACAAACTAGTTTGTTTCCACCTGCGAACTCCGCCAGATGACTTATCGCTTTTAGCCTGGTCCTCTGCAACATTATTTTTGAGTTGTGCAGGACATATAATTTACATTAAGGAAGAAGAAGTAGAGCACAGGAGATGGCCAACCGTCTTAAACTTTTTACTCTGTCTTTACTGACCGATTGCCAGGCCTAACCGGGAGCTCTAGGGGTGTAGGTACAAACCAAGAAAGATATTCCTTGCTGAAAGATCTCCAAAGAGGGCCGAAGGCTGTGACGGCTAGGCAGAACAGTCAACCACAAAGCACCAGCAACAGGTATTTTCGAGTTGTTGTGAGGAAAGACTTGTTGGCCAGCCGTCTTGTGTTTGTCATTTAAAAATGG